ATATCGGGAAGTTCATGTAACAAGGCTAAATATTAAACCAACTAGTTTCGATTTTTGTTCCTTGCGTCATATTTGTTTTGTATTTATTTCATGTATTTTATGTATTTCTCTTATTTTTATACCAGATGGTCATACGAAGTAAATCATCAATGTCGTTTCCTTTAATTGCTTTTTTTAGAAGCAAATTGAAAAAATCGCTGCGGTGTCTTTTTCTAAGGCATCCGGCAGCCCAATAAAGAAAGATACTTTTAATAATAAAATTCGAATAAAATTTATGTTTTTGTATTATATTTCTATTTAGAAGCTTAATGTGCAGAAAAAGTTTTGTAATGATGAATCAGAATGACCTACCTAGATTGACTGATTAATTAACTGATTAACTCTATTCCCAGCAAACCACAAAATTAATACGTAATAACGTAATTAAGACGTTAATATTACGTGATAGATGTCACGTCAAACATGGAGGTTACGTAACTTAGAAGGCACAAATGCGTCTCTATTTCCGCCTCAAAAGCTTATCGGCCTGTCACGTAACGCGAATACGTAATGGTTTCAGTTTTGTTACGTTTCCAAATTGTGCGAAAACTAGTTAAGCTATATAAAAATATACTATTAGAAACAAAATTCCTAAAAATGCCTATGTAAATGTCTAAGTCTTTAAAAAAAATCTATATACCCCAAGGAATTCTGGTCATAATTTCGATAGTGTTTGCTGCTTGTGCTTGTACCATTGGATGCATATCTGATAGACAATTTTGGAGATTTGTTGCAAGATTCGGTGCTGTTATCATTCTCCTGCTTCCTTCGCTGTGACCTCCAAGAATACCTGTACAACATGTTTGCACAATTAAATTCGTTTTGACAATAAATATTAACTTGCAAAAATGAATATTAAATATGCATTCTATGTACGTGTCAGAACAGAACATGATTTTGGTTAGAAGATAAACAAGCAAACTTATTTATTAAAAATATTTTTTTGTAAAAATAACATTTATAATGTGGCGGGATTAGATCACAGAGTAGCGTTCCCGACTCAGACGCTTGAGGTTCTGAGTTCGAATCCCCGGCAACAATTTGAAAAATATTAAGTAGTTAATTTGGAATTATGAGAGAATTATGAAATGTAATAACGTATGAAGATCAGAATCATGTATGAAGATTTGAGAATTAGAATTAAATGAATTAAATTAGTCGAAGGAGTAAGAAGAGCTTAGAAGATGAAATGAATGGATAGTGTAGAAGAATCAAGATAAGTAGAAAAAGTATAAAGAAGAATAGGATTTATATGAATAGAAGGAGATAGTGTAAAATTGAAGATGGTATAGAATGTGAGTGTATAGAAGAAATGTTGTAGGTGGCTAAAAGCTCGACTAAGCAAGGTCAAAAAATAAATGACGAAAAAAACGTATGATATTAGCTTATTTGTTTATCAAACAATGTATAATTATATCATTTTATAACAAAAAGCTGAGAGATAGCATGAGTAAGAGTACGAGTAAGCATTATCGTGAAAATTATTCCAAATTCAATAATCTAAATATATATTATAGTTATTATCACCTGAAAAATTAATTTTATACATTACCCAGAACAAACAATGCGCGTTCCCGGACATACGAATCCTGGTGAGTCAAAAGATCAGTAAATCTGTTTAGAACAAAATTCTATGAGCTGTGGTAACATAAATAAAATCGAATACTATTTTATGATGTACCTGGGAACTATATCAAGCCTAAATGCCTCGAATGCCTTTTCGGGATTTCTTAGTAAATCGGAGAGAGTAGCTAAAGTTTTTCTTTGCGTGGTACAATCCTTGCTATGGAGATTTCTTATCTTAAATAAAAAGCGTTGTTAAAATATATTTCTCGCGCGTTTGATCTTATATTTTAGAAAATGTGCTATATTTCATTGACAGTTTGGAACTAAATAAATAAATGTGCAAAATTCTAATTATCCATCAATCCCAACGATTGCTCTTTAATCAATCTCAAGAACTGCATACGTTATCATATTTTGCTATTGATAAATTTATATGATGATAATACAGTTTTGCTTCATCAAACTTTCAACATATACTATTCTTGTTCGAAAAAACTACTTACTTTGATAGGTAATACACAAAATCTTTTGATGCATCATAATTAAGTAACTTTTATCGAATCCGTTTTGAAATAATTATTCAAGGCAAGGAATTTTGACGATCGCGTTGACCGAATTTTAGCCAACGGTTCTTAACTTTTGAAAATTGATCCATGATCTAACTAAATAAACTAATAAACTAAATCTAATCTATCTAACTAAATATTCGTAACATATTTATTATCACTCTAACTGATAATTCTGAAGAAACGGTAGACCTATGAAACTGGTCATAACAGAAAAGCGGGTGCATCAAAGCGAATTATTATTGAATTATTTTGAATGGATTTTATTTATTTCAATGGATTAAATTTTAATGCAATAATTTTGTTTTATTGTTATATCAAATTGTGTCTCTGAAATTCGATTAAGGAGGAGTTATTTTATATTTCTTATTTAAGTTACCAATACATAATTTATTTTAATTTCTTCCTCATATTATGTAAAGATAATACTAAATTTGTGAATCTAAATTAAAGCGAAAAATAACTTTTATTTTGAAAAAATTGATCGACAAAGCATTTGGTGTACCTAAATGAAAATTAAAAATATTTAGTAGGAAGTATTTCAATTGGCTTCGCTTTTTATGCAGATATTACAGGTAAATAGACACTGACCAGTTTTGGTATAGCCCAATGTAGAAATGCTTGCGGTGCTCTTGTGCAATCAGTTTCAGGTGCAAATTTATAAGGTGTCGGACAAGGTTTGGCTAAGAACGGTGGTTCCAAATCTTCGCCGAAAGATTCTGCTTGCATGGCTAAGAAAAATTCAAAATCTTGAAACATTGAAAACTAATATCAAAATGTCTAATACAACGCGATAAAGGGTGAGTAGATAAATATAACGTTAATCACTATTTAATAAATTCTAATTTAAGTATATACACAGCGTGTTCCATACTTCAACGTCAACCCGAAACGAAGATGATAGTATTGATTATGAAAAATGTTGTAGTTCGATAACATTATGGAATTTTTATTTGTAATTTTTTTCATGACATTTACGATCAATACTTTTACTCTATTTCGTCCTAACGTATATATCCCTTAATAGTGTAAAAAACAAGTTCCTTAAAAAAAGTTAAATAATTTTTAAAATTTCTTATTTTCTAATTTTCTGATACTTAATGGCAGTTTGTTGTATAATACCCAGTTCATTATTAAAAAATGAGGTAGCGAGTTTTAATGTGGGACCTTTAACAAGTTGTAATTAGATTTGGGATTTTGGGATATTTCATCTTATCAAATTATTTCAACTCTTGATTTTTATTAACTTCCCCTAGAGTAAGTTATTGTAATCGTCCAAAAATCGAAAATGAATTTTTGCATATCTTTACGTTTCAGAGATTTGTGAACATTTTGACATGCTTTCGAAAAAATGGATGTGTGTATGTAGTTTATGCATTATGCAATTTTTTGTCGTGTTTCCAGGAGTTCCGCTCAGCCGATTTGAATGATTTTAAAGTTTTCGATTCCTATTGATAGGGAGACATGCTGATTAGTTTTTGTCAAAAGTTGGTTCAGCCGTTTTAGAGATGCGATGCAAAGAGTGCAGAAAATAGGAGTGCATAATTTGAGAGAACGGAGCATCCGATTTGAATGATTCAAAAAACGTTCCACTTCTATTGACGTAATGAAGAATTGATTAAGTTTATGCAAAGGCAGGTCCAGTCGTTTCGGAGATTCAAAAAAAGAATGAAAAAAAGCCATTTGGCGGTCGAAAATCAGATATATTGTAATTTGAATTAACCGATATGAATGGCTATCAAAATTTTTCAAGAAATGTTAAAATTTATAGAAGCAATAAAATAATGTTGGTTTTCCAAAAAAAATGATGTTCTCAAAAAATTTCTGAGTTTTCAAAAAAGCAATTTTTTTATATATTCAAATTTGTGTTATGTTTAGAAAAATTCAAAATTCTCAAAAAACAATCCAATATTTCTTTTCTGAGATCTTATAAAATTTTAAAATTACGATACGGGAAGTTACTGCAATTTGCCTTGAGGCACAATGCCATGCACCACTAGTTAAGTTTTGTACGTTATTTAGAAATTTTTAAAATAGACAAGAAAGTCAGAGTAACGCCATTATTAGAACATGAAAATTTTTGAAGTAGCTATACCTTCATTGACCATCCGATTTATTAGACGTGGTGGAACCGTCATGACATGTTGTAGATATGCATTTTTCATTACCGGAAACATTTTCAGGGATCTTTGATCTACTTTATTAAATAAGAATATAATAAATTTGAGGTAAATTTGTAAAGTAAAATATTTATTTATGTAAAAATATAGACACTAGATTAGTCGTTCACGATATAATTTTTGTAGAGAGTTCTTTTGTTAAAATTGCTAGCTAGATATAACTAAAACATTGGTAGATAATGATTTTGAGTAAAAGACCTTACACAATAAGGTAGTGTAAAGTCTATGTTTTCAGTTCCAAAATCAATGAGCAATATGAGCAATTTACAAAAGATTATTTGTATTAAAACAATACAAAGATTCTGATTAGAAAATAATGGTTAGACGTCTTTTTCAGTAGTAGACTCCAGGTGAGGATGATTCCTACTTAATTTCATATAGATATTATATTGTTTGCAATTATTTTAACTATAAATTTTATCCGATTATTAGTTATTAACAAAAAATAACTGTCAGATTTCAATAATACTAAACAAAACACATACTACTCTTTATTATAATTTTGTTATGAATTTTATCTGTAATTTAAATATTGAGATTTGAGTTATTTTTTTATCTGATATTTCTTTAAAATTGTAATAGATTAAAACATTTAATAGTATTTTCAATTTTTTTTAAATTAATAGTTTTAATATAAATATATTTAAATATGCCGCCAAAAAAGAAAGCTCCTGCTAAAGCCAAAAAAGAAGGAGAAGAAAAATTGACACAGCTAGATAAAACATTTTACGAACTTGAAATAGCGGAGATCAATAGAAGGTTTATACTTGATATGATTATCGGAATTTTCTCACTTAGGAATATATTATTTTACACTTTTTATGAAATTATTGTCCAAGAATCACGTCTTGTATAGTGTCATGATAATGATACAATAGTCCCATATTATGTGAATAATAATATTAATTATCTTTGTGTATGAAATTCAAAAGAAAACTTACGAGAAATTGAACAAAGTCGACGATTTTGGGCACACTGATCAACCGATTTGAATAATTAAAAAAAATCGGTTCGTATTGATGAGGAGTAGTGTTAGAACGATAGTATCGATACTGAGTAAGTATCGATACTTTGACTTCGATACTGAGTACTTTTGGAATCGATACTTCGGGCAGATTCTTTTGGCGGTGTCGATACTTTGCGCTGATTCTACTCAAAAAGTATCGGCTTATTTTTGACCCCACCAAAAGTTCGACCGCATTTTATGAACACCACTCATTCTCCGCTCTTCATAGATAACGAACGAAACAGGCGATAAGTCGAGTGCGATATGGTTTTTGTTAAAGAATATGAATGCCCCCAGTTCGAAGCCACTGATTAACAATAAATAAAAGAATTAGAGTTCAAGATTACTGTAGGTCCATAATATAATTTCTGTTACTTCCGAGAACATATGTTTATCAACGATAATAAGTTTTGTATATTTTATGGAAAAATCTTGTCTGCGAAATTGCCGCGGCGTAAATGAATACTTTCGTCACGAAACAATACTATTATTTAATTAATGAGTATTTTTCCTTTTGAAATAAATTAGCCGATACTAAATTCATAAATGAATATTTTTGTCACAAAACGATACTGTTATTTAATTATTGAGTATTTTTTCCTTTGAAATAAATTAGCCGATACTAAATTCATAAATGAATACTTTCGTCACAAAACGATACTATTTTCTAATTACTTATTGAGTATTTTTCCTTTTGAAATAAATTAGCCGATACTAAATTCATAATTGAATACTTTCGTCACAAAACGATACTATTTTCTAATTATTGAGTATTTTTCCTTTTGAAATAAATTAGCCGATACTAAATTCATAAATGAATACTTCCGTCACAAAACGATACTATTTTCTAATTATTGAGTATTTTTCCTTTTGAAATAAATTAGCCGATATTAATATTATAAATGAAAACTTTCGTCTCAAAACCATAGTATTATTTAATTATTGAATATTTTTCTTTTTGATATAAATCGAATTTGAAATTAGTATCGAAAAATTATTGTTTTAAACTTCTCAAAATATTGAAAATGACGCTGATTTAACAGCATCAAGTACAGGCAATATAATTTATCATAATATTGGAATTTGATCTGTAGAGAATTTTAGACCTCTCTTGCACTTAAGTTTAATTTTGGTGAAAAGTACTCATTATTCGATACTGAGTAGTATCGATACTTTTGCCGCGATTCTTTTTTGGTATCGATTCTTTGCCGCGATTCTTTTTTCAGTACTCGGTATCGATACTTTGCCTCGATACTTCTAACACTAATGAGGAGACGTGCTTATTAGTTTTTGCCCGCCGTTTATATGATACGGGACAAAAAGTGCAAAAAATAGAAATTCAACTTTAAAAAACAAAGTGCCCGATTTTAATCATTCAAAATACATTTTACTAGTATTGACGGAATGAAGATTTTACTTAATTCTTCAGATATCAAATTATCAGATATTTTATATAGCTTTTAACAATGAGTAAAAATGTATCATTTTCTGGGTTTCATAACAAGATTTTTAGTTGTTAAAGTTTACTTACATATTTCAAACAAATGTTCTCGACATCTTTGACAGTACGGATCTACCGATTGGAATGATTCAAAAAAACATTCGATTCGTAATGACCGCGAAAAGTACTGGTTAGTTTTTGCGAAAGGCACGCCTAGCCGTTTTGGAATACTGAGCGCAAAGTGTGTAAAAATGGTCTTTCAGTTGATTTTAAAAACATTTTGCTTGTTTTGGATTTATTTCAAAATTATCAAATAATTTAAAAATTTCCAAAGAAGTTCAAATTTTCAAAAAAAAAATTGAAAAAAGTTATCGTAAATATACACATAAATTGTTTCTAGAATACGCTCGTCACCCAATTTACAGTATTTTCATAATCTATTGGAAAATATTTCAAACAATTTTTATTAATTATTGAATAATTTTTTATTAATTATTGATATTTCTATTTCTCGAATGTTTAATTATGGTACGGGAAGTTCCAGCAATTTTCCAAATAATTTAGATGAAAATCTGTAGCGGGTTGCCAACACGCATCGCGGCTTGTCAACACGCATCACATGTTACTGGACAGATTGGCCCATATATTGACAGCACAGAAAAAAAACAAAAAATAAATTGAAGTGTCAGATCGGACACGGTTTTTGTCTCTCCCTAGTCGAACTTGCCAAAATGTATAATTTTCAAAACCTTTCTTTTTCTATTATAAATAAGAAAATACCAATCACATTTTATTAACGATAAGTATGACAACACATAGTGTCGTGGATATTAATCATATATAAAATAAACGAAATATAAATAATATTTTATGAAATTTATTATGACTATAATTTGTACAATTCCGGTATTTCTACAATATGGAGCACGCCTCCATATTTTGGTGACCCCGAGAGTGAACTAGTAACACACATACAAGAAGGTAAGAAGATCAAGACATATTTTGAAGTAGCACAAAAAAAAATAAATTGAAGTCTCAAGAATTACTAAGAAAAGAATTTTTAAAAATATAAATAATTATTATAAATGGCTCACAACCGCCATAACTAGAAGAACATTCTAATCCTACAACTGAGACTCCGACCACGCACTTCAAGATCAACAACAACACGTGCTCAATAAATCACTTATTATCATGGTAAATAAGTCGATAATAAGCACCATGGCAGCAGACAGGGAGCAAACAATTTGGCAACCGCCACATACACTCAACCGCTAACTCACCAGCGAAGGGCCACATACAATCAACCGCTAACTCACCAGCGAAGGGCCACATACAATCAACCGCTAACTCACCAACGAAGGGCCACATACACTCAACCGCTAACTCACCAGCGAAGGGCCACATACACTCAACCGCTAACTCACCAGCGAAGTGTCAAATATACTCAGCCGCTAACTCACCAGCGAAGGGCCACATCTACTCAACCGCTAACTCACCAGCGAAAGGCCACGTAAGCAATCAACAAACTCAACAAGCCAACACGGCATTCAAAACGGCCACGGCCACAAACAAATAAAATTTAGCACACAATCTCAACCAAAAGAAATTTACAAGGAAGTTCAAGAATGGTAGTCAGAGATGCGAAACAATCTTTTTCATTAGGGCGGAGTGATGTAGCGGGTTGCCAACACGCATCGCGGCTTGTCAACACGCATCACATGTTACTGGACAGATTGGCCCATATATTGACAGCACAGAAAAAAAACAAAAAATAAATTGAAGTGTCAGATCGGACACGGTTTTTGTCTCTCCCTAGTCGAACTTGCCAAAATGTATAATTTTCAAAACCTTTCTTTTTCTATTATAAATAAGAAAATACCAATCACATTTTATTAACGATAAGTATGACAACACATAGTGTCGTGGATATTAATCATATATAAAATAAACGAAATATAAATAATATTTTATGAAATTTATTATGACTACAATTGGTATTAATATGGACCAAGCCTCCATAAATCTGATATTGAATTTTCTACAACTTAAGCTTGAATTATTTTTTCAAGACTTGCTCGGTTGCGGGCCGAAAATGCTGAACTTGTGCAGAAAAATGTAGATCTCCAAACAACCGTGGAAAGCAATACTGTCGATGCCGAAGATGTCATCGAGCACCTCAAACGAGTTGCAGATAATGCTGTTAGAGAATCTGAAGAACAGAGAGTAAGCAGTTTTCTTCTCTTTTAGATTAGTTTTATGCGACGATCGTCCGAGCTGTTTCTTTGTAATTACTAGACAAGTGCAATGCTCTTCATACTTTTTTAACCAGCAAATCTGAACCGATTTAATTAAAAAACTGTTCGAAAGATATCAGTTGGGAATCGTGGTTATTAGTTTTGGGTAAAAATTGCCGAATCGGTTTTTCGTAATTGATTGTCGATTTTAATGAAACTTGACGATAGAAGTAAAAAAAAAAAAATTTTAGGAACATACTAAAATATTACCATCGTTTTTTATCTATGATTACGATAAGTCCTACAATAAGTCCTTTAATTTTAAAAATTCATCAACGTTTGTTAAAATGAGCAGAGCTTCTTTGATATGGTTCAAAATTTGGCCCATTATCGACGTTTTTCCAAAAATGGTTTCGATTCACTCGCGTTGTTAGTTAACAGAAAAGTGCAACATTTTTGACTAAGTTTTCGTGAAAAAATGTGAACTGAGAGACCGATTCTGCCGCATAACAGAAAAATGTTACGGCAAGGCCATGTTACGCTCCGACTTTCATACATTATGCTAATGAATACAGTCAAAATGTCATGTCTTTGCTGTTCATTCAGGCGTTTTACACATAAACTGCAACGTCACTCGTATGTTATGGAGTTATATCAGAAACACACTGTTATCTAACATCGTTTTTTTGACATTTGTGCGGCTTTTAGGTTATGTTTTCTATCAGACAACCTGAGAAATTCGCCTGACTGCACACCAACCGCATGGTTTTTGTCAATATTAGTATGGAAAGTTCTTCATAACATGACCTGGTCATACCATTTTTCTGTTCGGTCCCTGAATTTGGAAATTTACAAACTATTGAAAAGATATCATTTGTAGATCAGTTTCTTTCAAAGAATGGTTAGGTCGTTTTTTTGTACATGTGAAAATTGATGTTTTAAGATGTTTTATTTATTGAGATTATATTTTTGATGCATTTTATATATTTAATTCATATAAGTAAATTCTTGAAATTTATTTTCTTTTATAAAATTTTTAAAATTTTCTGAATAACCAAATTTTTTCCAATAAATTCCTGAGTAACTTCTATGAAAAATAAAACTTCTACGAAACTATATCTTAGTAATTAATAATTTCATTTTAATATATAAGTATTTGAGTTTCATTAAAGTTATTATATATATTTTTCAGATAAAGCTGATAGCACTGCAACAAGAAAAAAATGACGAATCAAATGAATTCAAGAGGCAGATGGAAATAGCTCATAATGATTATAGGCAAATGCATGAGCATTTATCTAATGATAAAAAATTGCTAGCTGGAAAACTTAATAGTTTAGAAGAATTTCGTATAATGCGTGACGATCTTATGAAGAAGTTTGCAATGCAAGAGAAGTTTATTGAGGAACGAGAAAAGGAATTTCAGAGAACCATTTATAACTTGGAGAGACAGCATGTAAGATCTTTTGCCATTTTTGAAAGATTTAGAGTAATAAACAAAAAAAGAATTAGAATGTATCGAATGCACTTTACCATTAATTTAATATAATAGAAGATTATAAACTTAATATATTTTAGATACTTGCAAAAGATCGTCTTAAAACGGAGATGGAGCAGCGTTTATACAAATTGTCATGCGATTTTAAGAATTCCGCTGAACTTTGCATCGCTGATACAACGAAACGAGTGATTCGTGAAAATATTTATATCAATAATGAAATGACGAATATGATAGAAACTCATCGCAGGTGTGTCTCATTTTGATGTATCTTAAGGGGGAAAGTCCATATAGACGCATAAAAATAGGTCATATTTTAAAAATATTTTTAAGCGTGATGGAATTATTTTATTGTTTTTTAACTTTAACACAACTTTATTTAACGCTTTTAGAGTACAAAAAAATATTTTAATTTTTTTTTCAAAATGGCGGCTCGGGATAACCTTTTGCCGACTGCCTCCGACGCGAGGTCCCAAACTGCTCCATTTCTCACTCATCAATCGTCGATCTGAAAAAAAAAAAAATTAATGTTTTCTTTTGAGAACATATTAATGGAAAGCATAAACCTATAAAATTTAAAAATAAGTATAAAATTCAATGAAAAACAAGCCTTTGAAAGAAAATCTGTATTTATGGCTATTTTTTTGACATTTTGGACCCCAGAAAATACTTTATCAACGCGAAAGATCTAAAAATTTAGGTTTATCCTTCCGATAATAGTATAGAGAAAGGCCTCACCAAATTTCAGACAAATCGATTAATAACTTTTTGAGTTACAACACGAGCAGTTTTTAAAAATGCAGTTCCGAGATAATCGCGTTTAAAGATTTAGTATAGGAAAATGACGAGTTTTAGTTACTTACCGATTAATCTGCAATCCCAGGTCCATACAATAGTCCTTCCTTATCTTCAAAAAGCTGATTTTCTGTAAGTTGTTGTTGTTTGCGAGCTGTAGGAGCATCTTTTATTTGTGAAAGGTTCCTACGATCCTGTCAAGTTATTCGCATCTCATCAGTATTATCAGCATATGCTTTAGCATAAGTATCAACAAATTCAAGAATTTCAGAAGGTTCATTATTCTTAATATTGAACTAAAACCTTCATTAAATATCCTAGCTGCAATATATGAAATTTGAACTACCCTTTGTCCACAATGGTGATAGTCGCCAAACTGTCGCGTTGAAACTTTCATTCGCGTTTGCGTATGATCACCAAGGCATCGTTCAAGTAAATCATCTTTGGACAAATCTTTATAAATTTGTGAAAGATGCTGTTTCATTTCTTTACCAAGTAATGGAGCTAAATGTACGTCTAGAGTCTTGACCACTGGCACTTTCATTATGACTTGTACTGGCGTCAATTTTTTCACCAGCTTTATCAGTAAACTGATTGCTCTGATAACGTCTTTTTTAGTGTTGTTGCGTGCAATATTACTTCGCTTACCTTTTAGATAATTCGGCATTTTTACGTATTGAAATGAACTGAACACTACGAATTTTCCAGCTAAACTAACTATATTTCTCGACTAACTTTTGTTCGTATACCAATATTACACATGTGATAGGGTACATAGAAGTGTTCTGGTTGTAGGACAAAAGAAGTATTTCCAGTTATTATAATGGAAGAGACCTTTTTCACTTGTGATTTAACAATACGCTTGATCGCTTGACAATGCGCACTCCGGCCCGCCCCGTTATGTTAGCTATAACTTTGTTAATATAAGAGATTTTTTTTTTTCGACTCGTCAATATACGCTCAACATACTATTCTTGCAGATTATCGAAAAAAAATCATTTTTTTTGAAAATGTTATATGGACTTTCCCCTTTAATTCTTAATAGGAATTATAGACAGTTGTCGTTATAGTAAACACATATTTAATTATAAACTTTGCAACTATGCTGTACTCTTTCGAAGAAGATTCTCAAAATTTTCAAAGCCATGAACTATCCGAAAGAAAAGGTTATGTCAGCAAATTTGATTTATTAATTTTATTTTTTAAAAAGTTTCGAGTTTGAATTCTAGACAATATTAGAATACCCCGTGTTCGTGGTTTGAATCGTTTGCCAAACTAGCTGTAAGTGGAATTCTGTCTTAAGGCAATTAGGGCATCGTGCCATTAGGGCAAATTGCTGGAACTTCCCGTACCAAAAATTATTATTATTTTTTAAAACAATTAACATTTTTGAAAAAAAATTACTTTGAAAAAATTAGATTTTTGAGAAACTATAAATTGGACAAAAAATTTTTTTTTCTTTATTTTCACATATTGTGGAAGATCTGAACTTTCAATCGTACTGCTTTAACTACATAGGGACAAAATATAAAGCGCGTAAGCGCCGCGTCGCTGTCTAACGCATAAGCATTGGTACGGAACCGATAGGAATGTTAACAAAATGTATACTTATTGTTAATTAAAATCTCTATAAAATGTCTGATAATTTGATGTGCATATGTCTAATGATCATTTTTGACCGCCAAATGGCTCTTTTTTTTACTTTTTCCTTTATATCTCCGAAACCGCTGGACCTACCTTCATGAAAGTTGTATCGATTTTTCATCTTGTCAATACAAATAAAATGTTTTTTGAATTATTAAAATCGGACGCTCCGTTCTCTTAAAAACTGAGTTACCGTTTTCGGAACTTTTTGCCCCGTATCTTCGGAACGGCTTGACCTGCCTTTGCCAAAAACTAATCAGCACGTCTCCTTATCAATACGAATCGAATGTTTTTTGAATTATTCAAATCGGTTGATCCGTGTTCCCGAAATCGTCGACGAAAATTTGTATCCGCACATACATACACACACATACATACATACACACACACATACACACACACACACACACACATACATCCATTTTTTCTGAGGTATGCCAAAATGTTCAGAAACCTCTGAAACGTAAAGATATATAAAAATTTTCATTTTCGATTTTTTTGCGATTACTATAACTTGCCCTACGGGAAGTTAACAATTGAAATTGATGATAAAATTAAATAATGACTTCCGTTGATTGTCTTGGAAACTGAGTCTATTGATTTTCAGTAATTATGATTAATATTGTTCATTTGTAATAAATGGCTAAACAAATTTTTATAAATAGCTTGCTCGATAATTATTTTTTATCATCAGTCCAAACGCCACGAAAGAATCTAGTTCCTCGAAATTGGTCCAAACGAATCTAGTTCCTAATTTTATTTTTCTAGAATTTCTATCTGTAGCAATGATCTCTGGATCAAAATTTGCATTTATAAATGTTTCGATAATTCTATTTAGGTCGTGATTTTTCTGTAATACGTTAATATATTTCATCTTGCCCTGACTAAAAAGTGGTCATCGTCTGATCTGAGGCTGTGTTAATTATGATAATATTTTTTCAATAGATTTGTTGGAAAATTTTTCCTTTTCCTGGTTTCACTAAGTATAGGTATATATTTGAACGTCAAATAATAAGAAGATTTACATCTTCGACAATAATTATTATGGAATTTCGTCGCCAAGCTTATTGCTGTATTAATTATTTGACCATAAAGTTTCTAGCTTCAAATTTTGTTTTTTCAATGAGGTGCTTCTTGTTTATACCATTGGCCAATAACTTATTTTGTGGAACAGTTGGAATCATTGTCTCGTCAAAATTTATATCTATTTATGTGACTTCGTGGCATGAATGTGGATTATCAGCTAATGGTTCCGGATTGCATAACCTTCTTGGTCGACTTGATATCTAGCAGTTGTGTTAAGAGAATTTCACTTGAGATTATCCACAAGCCTTTTGAGGCATACTTTCACGTTACTTTAGGAAATATATCTAATATATCTTGTCAGAAAGAGAATGATCCAGCTCTAGGTTTCCTTCTAGTAGGTTCACAAGCATATTGAACCAATAGTATTATATTCAAATTAAAAAGTTTTCTAAATTATTCATATAGTTTTCAGATTTTATCGGTGAATAATTCAACAATAATATAGCATGAATTTAATGTGGTGATAAAATATGAAATGTTGCTGAAGCACACAATTTTATTTAAAACTTTTCTTTTATTTCAAGATTTTGTTTTAATTATTATGTTCAATTAGATTGGAAGATGAAAATAAAGAATTTAGAGAGCGCGATCAACGAATAAGTGCTCAATTATGGGAAGAGAGTGCTGAGAAAAGGCGTTTGTTTCACTGCAAACGTGTCAGTGAAGAAGTTATACAGAAATTGGAGAATCAGCATGATAAGCTAATGCAAGCACTGAGGGATGCCGAAGTAAATAAAGATGAAAACAGGCAAATCAGGGAGAAATTAGCTCGAGCTGAACATCTTAAATATAACGCTGAACTTAAGGTTAAGTATATCTGGTAATTTATTTTTTTGCGAATATGTTGCGATTATTTTTTTGTTGATGTAATATTTGATACAATTGTCAAATTTATTATTTGTTTCTACTTTAGATTATTACTCTATTTTAATAAATAATGATAAGAACTGTTAGATAGATAATATTAACTACCTGCGATTTTTAAACATTTGTTTAGCATATTTGTGTGACAAGCGGCTCGGCTTTTCCCTAAATTAATGTTATTTTATTTTGTATAATGATTGCTCGATTGAATAAGTGGTTAAAAATAATTCTTATTACATTTTGAAATAGAATCTATGCATTAAATGCTTTTTATTTTTTTATAAACTTCATATTTTTACTTGGATTTTTCGCATAAATTACTGCACTAATCATATTCGTAAATATTCCGTACAAATACGGCTCACATATCTACACAGCCATACATACACAGTACACACACGCTTTTTTCAAATTTGGTCTCATTTGATTCATAATGACTTCGAACGTCGAGAAAATAAAATTAGCAAATTAGCAAATTGGAATTTGTTGCAAACAAACTATTTGGGGAGTTAGTAATGATTTGTTGTAGTATAATAAATAGTATTTGTATGAAACTTCATTGCATTGATAACTATAATTAAATCTTTTTATAATTGTACATTTATGCATGTACATTATTTTATATGTTTTTGATAGGCTCAGAACTTGACAGTTTTATGAGCTTCTTTGGCACGTTTGAGAAGACTTATTGATTTTAGATACGATGCATCAATGCAATCTATATTTTTAAGTAAATGTGGATAACACTACTGCTTGATGTCAAGTTATACGAAATGGGTATCCAACCTGGAGAACCCAGGCTACTAACACTAAGCCACGAGGAAGCATTTGTCTATATGCATACATTGATATTTATCTGAATCTAATAAGAATCTATGATTTAAGGCTTTTTATTTCTATTTATGTTTTCTCGACGTCTCAAGTCTTTCTGAATTGAATGAAACCAAATTTGGAAAAAGAGTGGGTGTGTCCATGCATGTTATTTTATACTTACTTACTTACTTTATATTTCTATGGTAAGTTATAGTAATCGCAAATCTTTGCATTTCAAAGGTTTCTAAACATTTTGACATACCTTAGAAAAAATGGATGTATTTGTGTGCGTGTGTGTAGACGATGACGGGAATACGGATCAACCGATTTGAATTATTCAAAATGCATTCGATTCCTATTAATAAAAAGGCGTGTTGATTAATTTTTGGCGAAGGCAGATCCTGCCGTTTCGAAGATATGGGGCAAAAAGTGCCAAAAATGGTAACTCAGGCGGAGCGTCCGACAAAATTGACAAAATAAAGAAACGGTTAAATTTTTGAAAAGGCAGGTTTTGCGGTTTCGAAGATCGAGTGAAGAAAGTGAAAAAAAAAAGCCATTAGCAGGTCAAAAATGATCATTAGACATATACACATCAAATTATAAAACAATTTGTAGAAATTTTATTAATAAGTATAAATTTTGTTTTTATCCATTAATCTTTGATATTTCTTCTCTAAAACAGCTACGCAGCACGATTGCTTCGAAAAATGTTGTAATTTTTGGTCCGGGAGTTCCAGCAATTTGCCTTAAGGCACTATGCCATGCACCACTAGTTTGATATATTTTTGATAGGCAATCAGAACTTAGCAGTTGTATGAGCTTCTTTGCCACGTTGCTTGCAATGCAATCTATATTTTCGAGTAAATGTGGTTAACACTACTGCTTGATATTAAGTTATCCGAAATGGTTTTCGAACCTGGAACCTTTTATTTGTAAGACCCAGGTTTTTAACACTAAGCCACGAGGAAGTCTTTGTCTATACATACATTGATATTTTTTATGCAACTCAATCAGGTCAGACAGCTGGAGCAGAACCTACATGCGGCAGCCTGCGAGCGCAATCTTCTGCAGCAAAACGCCATGACTTGGATCAGCGAGAGGGTCAAACTACGCGATTGTGTCAAACATTCAACCAATGCTGCAAAAGCAGCTATTACAGCATACAAACAAAAATCAAAGGATTTACCAGAGTAAGAATCTATTAATTTCACAATGCTTTGAAACCATTTTTATAGAATTATATAAAACTAAGTATATAGAAACATCACCAATCCGGAAGAGAAGTGATGCCAATCCAATTTATGCACAATTTGTTTCAAATAATTATTTTTGTATTATAATTGACATTTTTAAAAATATAATGGAAGAGATTTTTGTATACATAGGAATCGTCGATATGGGACGTGTTTTAGTACAAAATCTAGAATATAATAAAAGCTAGGTCCATGAAATCCTAATACTCTCGTTTCGAAATAGTCGTGTTTAAAAAATTAAAATCGTTTTGAAAATGACAAAAATATTTTTGACTTGAACGGGGCCTGGTCAACCTATTATCGATACCACCCCCTCCCCCTTATGGGCATGGATTTTTATCAGTTTCAAATTAAACGGATAATAATATTAAAAATTATTGTAAAAATGCACGTGAATGAATAAGTGAAAAGTAAGGTTTATTATTAAATCTTCTAGCTAATGATGTCCACTAAACATTTTTTCACTAAACAGCATTTCCATTAGGTGTGACACTCATAAATTTCCTCTCAACATTACAGATTATGTACTTGATTATAATAATGGGTAAAAAATCGAAAATGAAAATTTTTGCATATCTTCATGTTGTAACATTTTGGCATATCTTAAAATTAGAAAAATGGATGTATGTGTGGGTTTGTGTGTATGTGTGGAGACCATTTCTCGTCGACGATTTTGGGCGTACGGACTAACCGATTTGAATAGTTCAAAAGCCATTTGATTTCTATTGACGAGGAGACGTGCTAATTAGTTTTTGACGAAGACAGGTCTAGCGGCTTCGGAGATATGGAGCAAAAAGTGCTATGAATGTCGTTTTTAAAAGAACGGATCAACCGATTTGAATGGACCTAAAAACATTCGATTCGTAATGATGCGGAGAAGTGGTGATTGGCAGTTTTTGAAAGAGCTAAGCATCCGATTTGAATGATTTAAAAAACTTTGTCTGTGTTGATAAAACGATTGCAATGGGGAAAGAAATTTTCTATTTAATTTTTTTAGTCTAATGAAAGTTATATTATTTTTAATAATCTATTTGAAAACATTTAATATTCCTCGAATATTTTATAAGGCACGATGTCCTACACCAATAGTTATATTATTATTATAATTAATCCCTGTAGTATTATAATTTTTTTCTTTACTATATCAGTTAGTTGGTTTTAACATAGTCAAAACATTCTTGAACTTATTATAAAAATCTGTATTGATGTTTTTAATGTTGAACATATTTTAAAACATCACCTTCCTGTCAGTTCATCTATGATAAATTGAGGACCTGGAAAAGTTGTGAAAACCACCCAACCAGTTCCAAAGGTTGTAAGAAATACAAAAAATTGTATGCTTGAAGATATCCTTCATCACGTAATAGATTATTGTCATGGGCAATACTATTAACAAATCGACTTATGATCAACTTAACACATTCATTGACTGCTTGTATTTTTTTTTTACTTTTTCGTTGGCGATATAATCTCCTTCTTTGAACAGCTGTAATATCTGTCTTGCCTAAAAATATTTTCCATTTTAATAACTTCAAAATTTCATAGAAACTACGATGTTGTTTTATTATTTTCAAGGAACAGAGCAAAATATTCTTTTGATACAGGCATTTTTCATTAAATCAAGATTTAAATGTTTATTTATCTACGCCGATTTCCTTGTTGATATCGATACGCATACAACGACAGATCTCTATTCACATACGCGACGTCTAATCACAATCGACCTGTATAGAAATGATCTCATCGAGAGCGAATGACGAATCATTGGCCGTAACGCACTTCCGTTGCATTTGTACAAATTTACACCCTAGTCGCGCCTATAGAAATTTTAATTAAAAAAACAAAGAGTAAATTTACACAATTGCGCACTATTATTTATTATTATATTATATATTATATTTATTAATTTGACTATTTTTACAAAAATCGCGCTGAACAAGGAGAAAATTGATGGTCCATGTGGAGATGTGGACCACTTTGGGAATCAATGATCTGACTGAACTTTCAGTTATTTACAATGTGGTTAGGGCTTCCGCAGTCGCTGTACGGAAGAACAATAGTACAGCGGATTTTCACATAAGATCTTAGAATGTTAACAATAATTGAAATTGAATTATTTAAATATTCAATAAAAAATATTCTAGCAGATAATTATATGTACCAGATTTTCTGACAAAAGCTCACTATTTCTTGCGGTAGTTGAGCTCGTTGTATTTGTCCGATTGTTAAGCTGTTTTTTGAACTCGGTATTTGTTTTTGAAGAATTAACAGTATGATATTCGCTATTTATGAGTAATTTTAATGAAATGTTATGAACGTAAAATCTTATCATTTATTTTAATTTTTATTTTAGAAGATTGTTGACAATAATATGCATTCTTGAATCGGCGCTATCCGAGACCGGATTATTGAAAAAATCTTCTTCATTGGCAACCATACCGTCCTTAGGCGTAATATATCGAAACGAGGTGGGTGGGTTGATGCCGTTGTCCGAGGCATGCAAAGAAGAAGCCGTTCAGCGCATAAAAGAACAATATACAAAGAAACCTTCCGAACCAAAAGTTGAAACTCTAAAAGATACTAAAGTCGGTAAGTGTTTAATATTTTTTAATTTTTTATGATACAGGTTCCTAAAATTAAATATTTTATACATTTGTTTTTTGATATCTTTTTAATTTCAGAAACCAATTTTCAAAAAGCGAATTTTTGAAAGGCATAAGAAAACATCTATAAATCACTTAAGTTTACCCTAAACAATAGATTTTAACAATTCTAATGAAATTGCCTATTTAATGCTGCCGTTTAAATTATTAAATTATTTGCAATAATTGTAATTTTTAAAACACTAGATATTTTAACTAGTGGCGCATGGCTTTGTGCCTTATGGCAAATTGCTGGAACTTCTCATACCGTAATGAAACTTTCGAAGACTATTAAATGTTTTAAAATAGAATATTATTATATATACTGTGACTTTCACTATTCGTATTATAAACACAAAACATGAGCTTATTTTGACGATAAGAAGACGATTTATATATATATTTAGAAGAAAAGTAAACAAACTAAGAATTTTATAAACTAAATTGCAAAGTTGAAATTATTTATTTCTAGTATATAAATGAGTTTTAGAATTTTATCTAGCATTAAAATATAAAAACAAACCGTTATCAATATTTAAAAAAAATGTTTTATTTTAAATTTAAAAAATTGCTTTTCCCAAAAACTAATCGTCTTTTCACAAGAAAAATGTTTTTAAATTTTTAGAATCGGATGCTTTGTTCGCCCAAAAATTGTCATATTTTTCACTTTTAACTTCGTATCTGTCTTTGCCAAAAACTAATCACCACGTTTTCCCATCATTACGAATTGAATGTTTTCTGAAATATTCAAATCGGGTGGTCTGTTCTTTTAAAAACATAATTTTCATTTTCTGCACCCTTTGTTAGACTTGTCTTTGCCAAAAACTATTCAGCACGTCTCCCCATAAGTAGGAATCGGTTGCATTTTGAATCATTCAAATCGGTTGAACGGTGCTCCCAATAACGTCGACGAAAAATTGTATCCATACATACACACACATACATACATTCATCCATCTGTTTTAAGGTATACGAAAATGTTTAGAAACCTTTGAAACGTAAAGATATGCAAAAATTTTCATTTTAAAATTCGAATCGAATTGTTAATAACATAGCATGAAAAACCTAATTACAAGAATCTTATAATATGTGCATCTAAGAGATGAGCGTAATAACAATAATTAAGAAATCAAGACTTTTGGAAAACTTAATAAATATATGATATATCAGCTGTACCACGACTTTGTTCGTGTGGAATTTAATATAAAATTTAAGGCATAACCAATCGGTGTGTACTCAAAAAACTGAACAAGATCATTAACTTCATTTTGTGCGAGCGACATTGCAAAAACAGATAGTTGCCTAAGTTACGCCCAATTTTATCAGCTAGCTGCCAGTAGAGAATCCGTCAAAATCGGTTCAACCGTTTCAGAGATTATCTGGAACAAACGGACAGACAGATAAAAATGAACAAACAATGAAAAAGCATCTATTTTAATATTATAAACGGACTCTCCAATTTTATTTATATACTTATATGATAGACAAAATTTAAATTCAATTGAAGTGTAAACGTTAATTTGAACAAGAATTTATATATAATATTGTTTTTATTTTTTTTTGGTTTATTTTTCATAGCAAACTCTACACAGTACATTCAGCTATATATTATTACAGATATATATTATTTGACTGCGTGAGATGGATCGCTATCCAGCGATAGCACCTTCTTAGATTTTAAGTGATATTTTGTAGTAAATCATTGCAGATTCTTTTTTTGAGACGCTTTGGTGGTAAAGGATTTAGCAGATCACACGCTAATTCATTTGGATGACAACTTCGACGAGCCTTGTACCTGGAGCAGTAAAGACTAATTTCTTTTTCTATAGTTGGAATTCTGAGATCTTGATGTATCAACCAATTGAGAACGTATTATGGATCGTTCACGATTTCTTTCAAAATTTTATTTTGGGACCTTTGTAGAATAGTTATGTTCGATTTACTGGCAAGACCCCATAGTTGTAGGCCGTAGGACCATATTGGTTTAATAATTGTCTTGTATATTAGGAGTTTATTTGCTATTGTGACTTGTGATATTTTAAATTATTATTTAAAATTATGTAAAGTAACGATTCTATACTAGAAACACATGTGACTGCGCAAGATATTGGATCTGCAGGTAGTAGAAGCATTGTATCTACGGCATCATCATTAAAATATTCTGGAGAAGAAGGAGAAGAAGAACGATCATCAGAAACATTCTACAGGTTAAATCACCACATATTTTTTTCTTTAAACATTTGATATCAAAAAGACGTGAATCAATAATTTGTTCGAATTTAAAATTTACACAATTATTCAACACGAGGAAAATCTATGCTCGAGCAGACTCGTTCTGTGAAAAATTCATTCAACTGGTTATTTATACGAATTTTTCACAAAATGAGTCTACTAACTGATATATATTAAAAAAAAAAACACTTAATGGGTTTCTTCAAACTTTGATCAAAATCTTACCTAAACTGTGCTAAATCTAATAAAATTGCATTACATTGAAATAATTACCAGAAATAAAATCACATAGGGGTGTATTGAGTATATTTTATTTTTCGAAACTTAATAATAAGCAATAAAATACACAAACAATCACAGAGGGGTTTACAGGGGGATAAGAATCCAATAATCATTGTTCCAATAATCGTTCAAGTGGCCATCACTATGACAAAAATTGAATGTTTGTAAATCATTTCTTTAAAATTCTTTTTTCTTTACAAGAAAAGAACAATTAAAAACATTGTTCAATTAAAGTTAGCAAAATAAATTGAAATTACAATACTTATTCAAAACAAAAGTATTATCAATGGAAGAAATAACGACCAGTGCTATTGAATATCAAACTTCTATATAAATGCGATTCGCCGGCTATTTTATCGTGAATATTTTTCCATACTTCATAGATATTTATTAAGTAAATATTTTACATAATTAATTTGATATAATGGTTATGTAGGATAATATTTTTACAAAATATTTCCATTCATGTGAGAATAACGTTTCGTTTTTTAAGATAATTGATTGCTTCAAATATTTCAGGCGATAAAGATTTGTTTAGCAACAGCCGCGTTACTCGATACAATTATAATTTCGAACAAAAATCATTTCATAAAGTTTATTATTATTTTTTGGTGATTTGAAATGAATTTACATATTCTTATTATTTTTAAATATTGACATTGAAATATTTACGAATTTCAGTGTCGATTTTGCTGGTGAGCTTGATGTATCTAGTGTGTCACGATCTGAATACTTGGATGACGAGAAATTAGCAACATATTACACGTATGTATATTTCTGAAAAATAATTATATGAGTTAAAATAATAGCGCGATGGTTCACAAAAATCAGACGGAGTGTGGGTTCAATCCGGGTGTGGGATATCAACTTTTACTTGGAAATATAGATCTTAAATACATAGATTAAGATGTAAAGTGTAGAAACTCAAATATGTAAATGTCCTTCACTGCGCGTTGCTGCCTCAAATTGAATACTATGCCAGCCCTATTAGATTAATTCTAATAGGCTCTATAAGATAAATTCTAGTAAAATCCGTTGGGTTATCAAAAATATGACGTTAGGACAAGTTTTAACACAATAGCTTATAGGATATGAGGTTCTGTTTGCTTTTAAAACAATATATAGAATACCCATATATAAGATCTATCTATTTATAATTATATAGACAGATCTTATATATCGGTAATTGAATTGTCTGTTAGACACGTAGACACCGAAAGCTTAAGAGGGAGGGGGGGCGTTAGCCCGCTTTGAAGCTTAAAAAAATCGTTTTTTTAGCAATTTTTAGGGAAGGAAATAAACATTTAATTGAAATGAAACTGTCAGGTTTTATTGTTGTATATTTCAACATTTTTCTTATTTTTTTGTATTAAGTATTAAGTATGCGTCATAATATACCGGGTGCAAGCATTTTGAAAAATTTCTTTATATTATTTAAAATGTGTGTTAATTATAACTTTTTTTAAGGTTTTTTAGGTTCACCTAGAAGAGAATTTAATCTTAAATATACTCAATATAATCAATTTTGTCTCGTTTTGATAGAAAGTTAATTTTTTTTTCTATGGAGAAATAAAAAAAATGAAAAACCGAGAAGTTTTCGTTCCGCTTGTATACATGGTTGACGTTTACTCACTATTTTTTCTATAACTCCGAGAATACTTTGAATTTGTTTCTGAAATTTATGGTTTATATTTTTGCATAGCCTGGGAAGACATTTTTGCAAAAAAGTCGATTTTTTGAAACCTTTAAAGCACGGTCCCTCTTTAAGATGGAAGACTAACACTAACATGTAAAGTTTCGACAGCAACAATTTCATCATGTGATTTGAAAACCCAATTGATGACATTTTCCTTATCACTATCGTTATATAAGTCACTAAAGATATGCTATATTAAGTCACCAATGATATGATATATTACTTTTAAAAAATTAAATCTGCGTATGGATTAAAAGATAAAGTTAAAGCTAAAGCTTGGATTATAACAAACTGATAATTTTTTATTTTAATTTATATATATATATGTCATATATACATATATATATATATATATATATATATATATATACATATATTGTAAATATATTTATACAAAATAGAGATGGGATTATCATATCCGAAGCCGGATCGTTTAGCATTTAACTCCACTTCAGAGAGGAGTTATATCCACTTAACAACATTTTTGTTCATTTTATTATAATAATTACTAAGAAATTTATGCATTTCAAATCTCAAATTGACAAAAAACTTGGGAATCAATTTTGTAATTATTTTTGAAGAGAAAATATAGAATTCTTTGACTATGTTTATTTTTATATGAAAATAATACAGTGAACTTTGTATATGAAATAAGAACAAATCTTTGAACTCGGATATGACAAATCCTGTGAGACAACTTCACTCGGATTCACTCCGAGGGAGGAGTTGTATCGGAGTGAAAACTCCGGAGTGAGTTACCCATCTCTAATACAAAATATGTTGCGTACAACGACAGTGATATTTTATTATTTAAATCACCTTTACTTAATAACGAGTAAGCGTAGAGGATTCTTTTTTCTTTTGCCCCGGATAATTACATTTTAATTACATTATTACATTATTAATTATCAATTACATTATTAATGTAAACAAATTAATTTAAATAAATTTATTATTTGCAAACAGAGTTTCTACAATATCTGAAGAGACAGTTACTGCTGAGGATGAAGAAAGTCTTGAGAATGTAGAAGATGATGATGAAGAGAGCAATCCATGATTATTCCAGATTATAAATTTGTATTCTTTTGACATTCATAATCTAAGTTGATTATAAATTATGTAATATATTACTACTTCAGTAACGACTAAAACTTTTAACTAAAATTTAAATTGCACATTTATTTTTATTTTTTATGCAATTTCAGAATTCCGGAATACTCGATTTTGATTATTTTTTAATTTTTCTTTAACTTCCGCAACTATATAAAACGATTATTATTTTTATTGTCTTGTGCAATAATACGTTTTATTATTATGTGAGCTATTAATAATTATTGTTATAGTTATGATTGCATATATTATAAAAATTAGAAATTAATTATAACAGGTATGACGGTATAACAGTTACTATAACGAAAAATCGTCACATTTATAGGTATCTAGTTATTTAATCTAGTAATTTTTTATAAAACCATTTTGTCCATTTAGTACGAACAAAAGGACACATTGGGTAAAAAAATTGGTCGAAATTACTTGTACTGGCATAAGTGAATTGCTTTTAATTGAAATAATTACTATTATCAATAAATAGGTCACCGAAATACATGAGAAAACACATACACATTGTGACAATGACGCCCAATATCTGACAGGATTGTTATTATTGGGGGTTCTTTGTTATACAGTCGCGGGAACGTTGATAAAACTAACCAATTTTTAAATAAGGCCACTGTGTCATTTTGTTCATATATATCATTTTGTCCGTATTTTCCTTAAATTTTCCTTCCTACTATTGTTAATTTTACCCATAACATATCTTAACATAAACGATTTAATTAACTTTTAGTAGTGCAAGTTATTGCAATCGTCCAAAAATCGAAATTGAAATTTTTTGCATATCTTTACGTTTTGAAGGTTTCTGAACATGTTGGCATACCTCAGAAAAAATTTATGTGTGTGTGTATGTATGCATGGATACAATTTTTCGTCCACGTTTTTAGGCGCAAGGATCAACCGATTTAATGATTCAAAAAATATTCGATTTCTTTTGATAGGAATATGTGCTGATCAGTTTTTGGCAAAGGTCGATCCAGCTGTTTTGGAGTTACGGAGCAAAGAGTGCAAAAAATAAAAATCGAGTTTTTGAGAGAACAGCATCCGATTTGAATGATCTGAAAAACATTCATTTCGTAACGATGGGGAGAAGTGGTGATTAGTTTTTGGCAAAGGCGGGTCCAGCCATTTCCGAGATACGGAGGTAGATGTGCAAAAAATGGCAGTTTTTGAGATAAATAGGCATCCGATTTGAATGATTCAAAAAACTTTCTACTTGTGTTGACGAAACGATTAATTTTGGAAAAGGTTTTTTTTCAATTTTTTTTTTATTTTCAAAGAAATTTTGTTTTGAATATCGAAAATAATTCAGATTTTTTAACTTCCCGTAGGGTAAGTTATTGTAATGGGCCGAAAATCGAAATAGCAAATTTTTACATTTCTCGACGTTTTGAAGGTTTCTGAACATTTTGGCATACCTCAGAAAAAATGGATGTGTCTGCGTGTGTGTGTGTGTGTATGTATGGATACAAATTTCCAGTCACGTTTTCAGGCGCACGGATCAATCGATTTGCATGGTTCAAAAAACATTCGATTCCTATTGATAGAAAGAAGAGCTGATTAGTTTTTAGCAAAAGCAGGTCCAGCCGTTACGAAGATACGGAGCAAAGAGTGCAGAAAATAGAAATCGAGTTTTTGAGTGAACGGAGCATCCGATTTGAATGATCTAAAAAACATTCAATTAGTAATGATTGGAAGAAGTGATTATTAGTTTTTTGCAATGGCAGGCCCAGCCATTTCGAAGATACAGAGCTAAATGTGCAAAAAATGGCAGTTTTTGAGAGAACTAAGCGTCCAATGTAAATGATCAAAAGAACTTTCAGCTTGTTTTAACAAAATAATTGATTTTGGAAAAAAAATTGTATCATATTTTTTTTTTTAATTTTTTTTTTGTATATCAAAAATAATTCAGATTTTATTTTTAATTCTGACTATAATTTTAATATACTTTAAACAAATAATTTCAACTTTGCAATTCAGTTTATGCAATTCTTATAAATATTAGACAATGTTACAATATTAATAATAATCTATTTGAAAACATTCAGTATTTCTCGAACATTTCGTTACGGTACGAGAAGTTCCAGCAATTTGCCTTAAGGCACGATGCCATGCGCGACTAGTTATATTTTAGAATTGATTGAAATCTGTTATAAAAGATACAATTATAATTTTTAATCAAGTTTTAGATGCAAATTGAATGATCTCAATTAGGATATTAACGGCTTGAATATTTTAATTAAATTAAAAATTAACATGTACGGGTACATTGCAATAACGTATAAATTACTTTAAATCAGAATTGGAATTTAAATTTAATTAGCACCTATTCTATTTATTTCTCAATGTATGCGAAATTAATAATAGTCGAAACACGAATATCAAATATGGTGTCAAAGTTTTTATACAAGTTCACTTGTAACAATAAATAGTACTCCCATAGATAAAAAAGATTATTTCTACACCGTGAAAAATGAGCACTTCTGTCATTTTCTACATTCTAAAACTTACAATGTGGCTTTCCATATATTTCTTGGAATTTTGTAAATGTCTTTTATATATTTCAGGTACAAATAATGTAATGATTGGTGTATCGGTGTATCAAATTAAAATTCACATATTTAACAACCATATAATAATTTTCTGCAAACATATTTTGAATTTCTGGATATTGAAATCGATTATTATTTATGAACAAACTTTAATTTTTTATTGATGTTAACTTCACTCCATAGATAAGAGTATACTTCACCCGTAACTGATTCTCAAAAATACCAACAATGAAATAACTCATGCGAATTTAAATAAAATATGGAAATTTTCTTTTCATAACTTAATAATTTTAAAATACTTCATTTTGTGAATATATATCCAAATAAAATTTGAAATATATCAAAATAAGATTCTAATCTGTCATTTGAAAACAACTTTATTATTATTAAGTTGTTAAGTTGCTTGCCCTGCGAAGCCGAATCAGTTTGACGTGAAAAGGTGAAAAGCTTAAACGTAAATTCACCATTTTGAATTCTATTAGATGTATGTGGATAATGAAATAATATCATAATCTTAAGTGCAAATAACGTTAAATATGGCTACTAAAGTATTAATGAAGGCTACTGAAACGGAATTGGCTTGTTTGGTAATGCTCTTATTATATTACGCACTCCATTACATTTTGTGCAAATGTCATTTTGTTCAATGTTCATTTTGGCTTCTTGCAGAGTGCTACCGATATATTGGTCAAACCTGAGCTTGCTTTTACATCTGAAACAAATTCCATACTCTTAACCAGACAGTTATTTGCTGTTTCTATTAGTGCCATATGCTATATGCGCAAAGTATTTTCAAAGGAGTATTTCAGGCCTCGTAAAATTGGGACCATGTCAATGCATATGCTGCAAAATGTCAAATCTGATCCGAAAATAACAAGATTTCTTAAATGTGTAAAGGGCTGTTTTGAGGCTATGAAGAAAGGATACGTGAGTTAACATAATATTTATTAAAACTAAATGGTATAAAATTTTATTATTTTTTCATTCGATAATAGTTGCGTGACATTATTGTCGCTATTCAACCGCCCGGACAAGAAGATGTTAGAAAGGCGTTTGAAAGCTACACCTTTAGAATAAAATACAGTACAGCTTGTAAATTTGATGATAATGCAGCAATAGCTAATAGTCGGTGAGTTTTTAGATTATACTAGTAGTAAGTAGCATTATGCCTTAAGATGAGTTGCATAGATTTTTCGATACGTATACATAATTAACTTAATTAATAAAAAATGAATTCAGATATTTTGATAAAATGTTCAACTGTCTTTTAAAAAATACAGATTTCGATTTCATTGAATCAATTTCCCTTATATTTTTGAGATATACCTATAATATCTGCACTTGTATAAATTTAATCAATTTATATTAATTTAAATTAATTATTGTTTAACACATTTTATTTGATCATTTTCGTGTTCTTAAAATGTATTTTATTTAAGTGTGGACGTAAACTGTAATCGGCATGACGAAAATGCATGTTTCCTGTTAGTGAAACTGATATAATGTCTATCCATTTGCTGTGCAACCAGGCGTATTTGACATATAAACAAGCAAGGAACTAGTGGGGCGCATGGCATCGTGCCTTAAGGCAAATTGCTGGAACTTCCCGTACCAAAAAAATTTACGGAACCCATAGGAATGTAAACAAAATTTATACTTATTGTTAAAATCTCTATAAAATATCTGATAATTTGATGTGCAAATGATCATTTTTGACTGCAAAATGGCATTTTTTTTACTATTTTCTTACTATATCTCAGAAACCGCTAGACGTACCTTTATAAAAATTTGATCAGTTCTTCATCTTGTTAAGACAAGTGAAATGTTTATTGAATTATTCAAATCGGACGCTCCGTTCTCTTAAAAACTGAGTTACCGTTTTTGGCACTTTCTGCCCCATATCTTCGGAACGGCTAGACCTGCCTTTGCCAAAACTAATCAGCACGTCTCCTTATCGATACAAATCGAATGTTTTTTTAATTATTCAAATCGCTTCATCCGTTTTCCAGAAATCGTCAACGAAAATTTGTATCCGAACACACACACATACACGCACACACACACACACATACATCCATTTTTTCTAGGTATGCTAAAAAGTTCAGAAGGTTTTGAAACGTAAAGATATATAAAAATTTTCATTTTCGATTTTTTTGCGATTACTATAACTTACCCTACGGGAAGTTAATAACCTTATGATAACTGCACCAACTAGAATTCTGTTATCATAATATTATTCCTTGCTTATTAATAGGTGAAATACGCCTGATAGCACAGCAAATAGATAAACATTTTTACAGTTTAGCTAACGCATTGCCATGACAACTCTATTTTATGAGGCAGAATTGCCTTCTATTATATTTATTTATCTATTGCATTAGATTCGATTCACAATTCGATATCGATTTAATTAGATTCAATGAATTTTTAATTCAACCGCTTATCGTAGGTTTATAATAATTTATTATGGTATTTCAGACTATGAAATGTGTTGTTAAACAAGGTTTCATGAATATCGTCAAAAAGATTTTTTTCAACATTTCATTACGAAGAAACTGCTTGGCCGATCTTAATAAAAAAACGCGATTCTCAAGCAATATCTTTTGAACGGTTTTTGATTTTGAAAACGTCGTGATAAAGATATAGACTTTTTTGCTAACTACAAGGAAACGGCTAGGTCAATCGTCACGGTGATCCTTATTGACTTACATTGAATAGTTTTAAATATTATCTCTTGAATAGCTTTGGGAAAACGTCGACAGAAACTCAAACGGCTTAAATACACACACAATTACCATTTCCAAATTTAGTCTCATTCGATTCAGAATGATTTCAAAACGAAATATGAAAAAAAGTGTCAAAATTGAAGAATTGTTGCATTTGGTTCATGATATCAAAACTCTATTTAGACTTGAATTAGACATTTTGTTGATGTTATCGACTATACGGAATTGTAGTAAAAAGGTAAAAACAGTATTTATTTTGTACTACTGGTTGCTTTTATGATTTTTACACGTAATCTACAACTATCGGGTTGCGAAGAAACTGTGCACATTACAGCTAATTTTATGATATGTTATGTAATGTTTATGTATGAATTTCAGTATAGTTTTAAGTATGAATTTAAAATGGTTTTATTTCCTTTAACTTATACCTATATGATTCCATAACAATATTTTTTTCTTGAGGCTCATCACGATTGATTCATCCAAAGTATCTCCAAAAACATTGGAACAAAATATCATCGATTGTTTATTCAACTGCGTTGAAATTGTGAAACATATGCCAGATCTACCGGAAGGTTGTTCACTGGGAATGATGCTGACATATTATGAAGGTGAAATATGGATTAATTTATTTAAAAATATTATAAATACGTATTCAATAGTTAAAAAAAATCATTCTCCATTTATGTTTTGTTCATGGAGTTAAAGATATAAAAACTTTATTTTAAGGCATTTAAAGATTGCACACGGAAGAGGTTATAAATGAATTCATAATAGTTTTTCTATAAAATTCAGCCTATTTAGTCATTGTAATATATGTTATCCATAATTTTATTTTATTGTTTATTTTTGACTTTGTATACATGTACATTAGTCATATACATTTTATAAGTTATCTTTACAATTTTATTTTATTAGATTGTATATAATTTATATAGAGCACCATATATTTTTTTTTTGTTAACAATGTTATAAAATTAGTTGGTAGGGAGATTTTTCGCCTTACCATCTCCCTCCATAGTTCTTTTGTAAATTTTTTGCACTCCATAATGGCGTGCTCTGTATCCGCCCTAGTCGCTCCACCCAAGCAATAGCAGTTATCCATAATTGCTTTTCACTATTTTTAATGACTTTCCAAAACTTAGAATAAATTTTTAAGCTTTATATAACAACCCAAATAAGTTGTTATCCTTCACAACATGTCGGACTTCGAGTACAAGCTAATTTAAGTTTATACATTTAAAAAATTAGTACCTACATACAAGTTAAAAAATGTGATGTTTTTTTAAAAAGTTATACGGAAAGACAGAAAATAACATTTACTTGGAAGATTTGATGTTGCTTTTATAGTACTAATTACAAGACAATGGTATGTGATCTATGATCTCTGACACTTTTTAGTAAACTTTCAGCTTTAGTATATCTACTTAAATAAATTTGATAAATAAGATAGATAGCTTGGCCTAACTAGAAGTCACAGAAATTTATTATTAGACTTTAAGTGTCGATGTTTCATTTGTCAAATTATATAGCAACTTTTATTTTCCAAGTTGATCAATACTTTAAATAGGTATAATTTGTCGTATCCTTTTAGGGACACCTCGTGAGTATCAACCACCTGGTTTTGAGCATTGTGAATATAAGGCTTTTGAGTATTCTCAAGGGCTTTTTAACTTTGAAGTAGGAAGGTACTCAACACCTTATCATTCAGTCAGTATGGAAGCTAATGCCAAGGTAAAAAATAATGTTTGGTGTTTGGTATATTTTAAGCTGATTGTATGCCACATTGCGAATCAAAAAAAAAAAAATCTTTGGAAAAAGCGCATATTTGGCCTCAGCAATATGAAGATGATACGTTAGTTTAATTGCCTACAACTAACTTATTAAAATTAAATATTATTTCATTAATTCAATTTTATAAATCTAACTTTTACCATTTATAAATTTATAAAGTTATCTAACAACATTTACTTTAAAACGTTTTTAGGTGCCATATTTTATCAACTCAATACAAGTTAAGAAATATATTAGATTACAATATCTATTTGATTTTTACCATTGCAATAATTTACTCTGCAGAAACTACTTTCCATTTGGTGTTGCATACTTATGAAATAAAAATTGGTTGTAAGATAATTGAAATTTTATTTCTTCATAGTTAGTCGATGCAGATTCTACTGATATTAGTGAAGCAAATAATTCTGGAGTTGTAGAGAATTCTCAACCTGAAGTTATTGGTAATACGACTGAGGTTACTGTGAGTAAATTGCTCATGTAAAACTTTGAATATGAATATTTAATCTGTAAATATTCTTACAGAACTTGATTGACAACGAACGAACTGAAAGTCAGGTGATTACTGAAGTATTAAGAACTTATCATGATACGTCTCTCGAAAAATTGGTATGTATCGCATTGTATGCATCTTATCAAAAGGAATAAACTAGAATCAGTTTTTTAGACTATATTATATTGTACACTTATTGAAAAAGAAAATTATAGTGAGAAATTTTAGTTATATTATTACATTCTTGTATTATTTTTTTGCAAACTCAAAGAATTTGAAATCATGTCTACATGCGCTGCAATTTCTCAATCACCCGTTTATACAGTAAAACATGTGTAAACATAAAATATATAGACAAATAAATATCAAATATCTCTTTTGCTAGTTCTTTTTTGTAATGAGTATAAGGTTGCAAACATTCTGATATGCATTAGGTCAAATTGTGTCTCAAAACGTATGGAAATCGAATAAAAATAAGTTTTTAGAAACATAAGTTTTCACATATATTTATATATATTTAATTTTTGACTATTTTTAGTTATATTCGCCAGAGAACATTTGCCAGCTAGAAGAGGTTGATGATGCAAACATTAAAATATTGTCAGTAGATACAAAATTACACCATCAAGAAGGTGTTCAACACAATAATATCAACGTTGACAAACATGTCATGATTAAAACTTCTATTCCAAAAAAGAAAAAAAATCTTAGCGATCAAAATAGTAGTGATAGTAACAAATCAATAATTACTTTGGATGATATGATAGAGTCCGGAAAAGGTATGAAATATGATACGAATTAAATTGATTTATATCATAATAATTAACTTTATTGAATTGATTTATTAAAAATTAAACAAAATTATAATGAAGCAAATCTAAATAATTTAAAAAAATCATTATTGGGGGGACGACCGTAACAAGTACTAAAGTAAATTAGACACAAAATAAGTAAATGTTTTTGTTTGAATTTACTTTGTAGATATAGATTTAATATGCACTAATAATCAGTACTCTTCTTTTTTGTACTTTACGTGGTATTTTCATATATTTTTATGAAGTTGTCGATTTTGTAACCGATTTTGGGAACTTCCAGTTTCATAACCGACTTGTATTGCATTTTTGAGATACGTATTTGGAGGTATTCTATATTGAAACTGACAGGATATCTCATTCGCGTCCCCAAACTTTTTTATTGAAAATTATTTACTCAGAGTTTTTAGCTGATATTGTATTACTCTTTGCCGATATTAGCCAAACCCAAGCATATGTCATAAATAAAGTGGAGCGTATGGCATCGTGCCTGAAGGCAAACTGCTGGAACTTCCCGTACCAAAAATTATTATTTTTTTAAAAACAATTAACATTTTTTAAAAAAAATTACTTCGAAAAAATTAGATTCTTGAGAAACTATAAATTCGACAAAAAATTACTTTTTTTGAAAAAAAAAATTTTCTTTAGTTTGACATATTTTGGAAATTTTGAACTTTTTTTTAAAGCAATCGTACTGCTTTGATTGCATAGAGACGAAACGTCAAAGCGCGTAAGCGCCGCGTCGCCGTCTGACGGATAAACATTGGTACGGAACCCATAGGAATGCAAACAAAATTTATACTTATTGTTAAAATTTCTATAAAATATCTGATAATTTGATATGCATATGTTTAATGATTATTTTTGACCGCCAAATGGCATTTTTTTTTACTTTTTTCATTAGATCTCCGAAACTGCTAAACCTGCCTTCATGAAAATGTGATAAATTCTTCATTTGTTAATACAAGTAAAATGTTTTCTGAATTATTAAAATCGGACGCTCCGTTCTCATAAAAACTGAGTTACCATTTTTGGCCTTGTATCTTCGAAACGGCTAGACCTGCTTTTGCCAAAAACTTATCAGCACGTCTCCTTATCAATACGAACCGAATGTTTTTTAAATTATTCAAATCGGTTGATCGGTGTCATCGAAATCGTCGACGAAAATTTGTATCCGCACACACATACACACACGCACACACACATACATCAATTTTTTCTAAGGTATGTCAAAATATTCAGAAACCTTTGAAACGCAAAGATATATAAAAATTTTCATTTTCGATTTTTTGCGATTACTACAACTTGCCCTACGGGAAGTTAATAATCTGGGCTATCAAGTGCTAATATAATTGCCATATCATCTGGAATACAATGTTTCAACAATTATGATACGAAAGCAAATATTGATTATACCCAATTATCAGCATTGAAATATTATGAAATAAATCATATTCTGTAAAACAGTTGTTAAAATGTAAAATACTATTTAAAATTTACATAACTTTATTCTCAGAGGTCACCACAAAAAGGAAGCAAGTGCTTGATCCGGATGTGTTTCAGCAAATGTGTTACGGAGAATCTCAGAAAAATGAACTTGCAAATAAAAGAATGAAAACCTAAAATCTTATATGATGATAAGATTTTATTTTTACACTTTTCTCTAATAATAATGATTTATATATAAATGAGGGTTCAAAGCTCATTTAAGATTAATTTGATTTAGACATAATTTTGGTTAATTATGAGTATTTATTACGGTACTTTTGAATAAGTTAGAAATTCATTTTAAGTATAGAAAGTATTACATATATAATATTGTATTGTAATTTCATTAATATATAAGTGGTCTATAACAAATAACTTAAAATTGAGCAATTTTAACAAAAATAAGTAATTTAAGATACATATTCATACATTCCTATTCACTGCATAGTAATTTTCATTGATTACGCAAAGTAAGAAATGATTTTTTTCTGCATTAGTATTATATTTAAAATTATATATTCTTTTTTATTAACTACAAATAATTAATTAGGATTTTTTATAATATTTTATCAATTTTATCAATGTTTTATACCATTTAAAGTTATCAGATATCTACTTTGCATTTTTTTTTATTTTTTTAGAATTATTTATACGACACAATTGCATACTTTTAATAGTATTGTTGTATATACTGTTGCAAAATTGTTTCAGAATAGATCACAAAGTAAAAAGGATATATATTTATATTTCTAACAATAAGTCTAATATCAATCATCGTGTATGTAATTGTTCGAGTACATAGATTGTGTATATTCATATACTAGGTTTATACTTTGAATATTGTATAAAACTGTCATTGTCATTAATGATTAGCAAGAATATACCGTCTTATATAGTAATTTAGTTCATATCATCATAATAACCTTTCTTTGTATTAATTAGCATTTATATTCCAGAGAAAACCATATGCCTACTCAAATATTAATGGGCAATGATTTTCTATTCAATGTATCCTTTTAATATATAAATAATTGTTTTACAGACGCATCTTTAAAATACAGCTCATATTTAAGATATCACAATATCGCTTGTCGAATTTACAAGCGGTTACATGGAACCTCCTGTCCGCTTACATCACCTTACATCTACTTACATTAGTAGATCTATCCAAACATTTATCTTCTGCTGTTGATGTGGTTTCGGGACCAACCAAATCTTCCAGGAAAATATCTAACGGTAAAATTTATTTAATCACTGTCTTTAAATATATTTCATTCCATATAAAATGGTTGTAGAAAATAATTTCTACGAGTAATACATTATTTATTATTATTTCAAACAAAATATTTTTGTATATAATTTGTTTGAAATATATCTTTTTCACCGCTTTAAATTTTAACGTAAGAAGATGTTTAAAAGTTTTTGTTTAAATTCATATGTTTAATATAATTTATTTTACAAAGAAAATACTTACCAAACGCGCTTTAAGTTTGGTGCGATCGGGTGGTTTATTTGGTCACCCGGACTCGAATACAAGTTCCATTGGAAGAAGGTTATGGCTGAAACTCATAACTATACGTTTATGTATACTATATGAAATGCCTAAAACTAAAGGCTAATCAGCGCTCTCATGGTACTCCTTCTCAAACATAAGTGGTACTTTGTGTCTGTGAGACTGGGTTGGTTCTTGCTTAAAATTTCTCGATAGAAATTAATTTTGCTCTTTTCATTTTGTTACCATTAATCACTTTATACACTTCTGCTTCATTAATCACTTTACCAACTTCTGCTTCCATGCTTCCTGGTTCTGTGCTTAGACTCTCTGGGCCTTGTATTTTTTCTTCGCGATTAAATCAACCATCAACATTCTTCTTCCCAGTCCTGCAGACTTTCTATTTTACCTTCGACGACGTCATGCAGATGGTACCCAGAATGGGTCCGATCCAATTTCCTTTCCTTTTAATGATTGTGCTCAGTAGAGTCCTTTCTTCGCCCACTCTTCTCAGGACTTCTTTTTTGTTGCCTTATCTGTCCGCTTTATCTTCTCCACTCGTCTACAGTACCCCATTTCAAAACTCACCAGATAGATTTCTCGATCTTTCTTACAGTCCATGTCTCTGGTCTGTAAAGATCTATGCAACAAATATAACACTTTATTAGCATCTTCCGCAAGTCGAGTCTCAATTTGCTCGTCTAGAATTTTCTTTTCTATGCCGCGCTTGCATTCCTTGCCCTAATCTCTCTCGTGCAGTATCCGTCTATGGTGAGGATGATTCTCAAGTGCTTGAAGTATGTATGATATATGTATATATAACTAGCTGTAAGTGGAATTCTGTCTTAAGGCAATTAAGGCATCGTGCCTTAAGGCAAATTGCTGGAACTTCCCGTACCAAAAATTATTATTTTTTTAAAAACGTTTAACATTTTTGAAAAAAATTTACTTTGAAAAAATAAGATTTTTGAGAAACTATAGATTGGACAAAAAATTACTTTTTTTTGAAAAAAAAAAAAAAAAAAATAAATAAATTTTTTTTTTTTTTTTGAAAAAAATTTTTTTTTCTTTATTTTGACATATTGTGAAAGATCTGAACTTTTTTTCAAAGCAATCGTACTGCTTTAACTGCATAGGGACAAAATATGAAGCGCGTAAGCGCCGCGTCGCTGTCTAACGCATAAGCATTGGTACGGAACCCATAGGAATGTTAACAAAATGTATACTTATTGTTAAAATCTCTATAAAATATCTGATAATTTGATGTGCATATGTCTAATGATCATTTTTGACCGCCAAATGGCTCATTTTGTTTACTTTTTCCTCTATATCTCCGAAACCGCTAGACCTACCTTCATAAAAATTTTATCGATTCTTCATCTTGTCAATACAAGTGAAATGTTTTTTGAATTATTCAAATCGAATGCTCCGTTCTCTTAAAAACTGAGTTACCGTTTTCGGCACTTTTTGCCCCGTATCTTCGGAACGGCTAGACCTGCCTACGCCAAAAACTAATCAGCACGTCTCCTTATCAATACGAATGTTTTTTGAATTATTCAAATCGGTTGATCCGTGTTCCCGAAATCGTCGACGAAAATTTGTATCCGCACATACATACACACACGCACATACATACATACATACATACACACACACACACACATACATCCATTTTTTCTAAAGTATGCCAAAATGTTCAGAAACCTTTGAAACGTAAAGATATATAAAAATTTTCATTTTCGATTTTTTTGCGATTACTATAACTTGCCCTACGGGAAGTTAATAAATAAAACACTCCAATTGAGTGATACTGCCAACGGATCGGAAAATTATGCGATCACTTTAAACAAATTTTAGAAAGAAACTTTTGTTAAAAATAATTATAAGCTGAATTGATAGTGTCTAAGATTCTTGTCTTCAAAGTCCACTGAAAAAGACATTGGCTAAAAATTGTTTCAGTATACAATGAGGCGAATTTTGGGGTCAACAATGTGTTGAAATCGAAATATAACCTTTTTTCAGGACTTGGATAATTAAAAGACTGATTAAATTGGTTATTACTTTATCTGGCGATTCGGGACAATATTTACCAATTTAATAATTATTTATTGATTTTGAGGTAACGTTTCAACTAAGATAATATATAAATCAGTCAACATCAGTCAGTAAATTTAAATTCTGAAAGTTCACTTTTATATCATCAGTTAGTAAGAAGTAATATTGTGTATAATTACACATTTATAACATCATCACGGACCGCAGATTCTGAAAATAAAATTTTGTATTCGTTTTTAATATATTAATTATTCATTAATAATTATTAAAATAAAGTCATCCTACATCGGAATCAGATTGAAAATGAATGTATAAAAATATTTTATACTATCATTAAAATAGTAATAATATATATTCCATGATATAACTTGTTGTTTGATCACAATAACTACTACGTTCAATTTAATGTTATTGTTTGATAACTCGGTTTTTTATAACTAAAAATAGCATTCTAATTAGTTTCTTCTCATAACAATCAAAACATATCGAGCACGAGTACTTCAATTTTGTAAATTTGTTTGTTCTGATAATACGGATTATAAATATATAAATCATTTTCCAACAGAAAAGGTATCGGAAAAAACATCTCGTAATCTTCGGAAGATAAGTAATACTTGAGATTATTATGATACTGATTTAGGTTATGGGAATTTGGAAAAGATAAATGGATTAAATAAAACAAAGACGTAGTACATATTTTATATTTCAATTTATTCACTCGTATTTTTTTTTAAATTTATTTGAAATCGTTTATCAACTGACTATTTTTTTTTTCAATCTTATATTCAGCGGTAGTTTATTCAACTGTTGCAAGTGAATTAGTAAAACATTTTAACCACAGGAATTTGTTATCGGCTTGGTGAATTGTCCTTGTTGGCGTGTAACTTGGAGCGTTTAAGATTTGCCTCGGGATTTTATTTTGAGTACATTGGATTATGTTCAAGTTACAGTACCCCAAAGTTGAAATCCGTAGGTTCACACGGGTTTGATCACCTTCTTATAAATTAAAATTTCGTAGTAAATTCATAATTCTGAATTTCTATTTAGGAGCTAATAATAAACAGATAAACATAATGCATTTCTTTTTACTTCACCTAATATTTACAATTTTATTTACAACATAAATATACAATATTGAATTGTATAGCATTAAGATCTTAAACTAAATTCATAAACTTGAATTATAGAAAGTACCTGGTTTATCGTCACCAGAAGTATTTTTCTATGTCTTTGTTTGTAACAAATTGTTATCAGTTTGACCTGTGCGATGTTATTTTAGTTGGAGGCTTTCTTGGTTTTGGGTCATTATAAATTCATTTTATTAATATTTTATCAAACAGTTGCTGAAGGAATATTGCATTTAGGATTAACAGTTTGATATCATTAGAACTAATAGTTTGATACATTTATAAACAAAGTTTTGTCCAAAATTTACAAGTTATTATCATCTCAAATAAAATTATGGTTAGTTTATAAAATGCACGCCAATGTTTTATAAGATCAATGGTAATACCAGAGATAAAAATCTTTGGTTGTATAAATTCGCGTGAAAATTCGTAAGAAGATATAGTGTTTTTGCTAAAATGAAACTGTTTGTACTTGCTCTTTTTGTGGCTGTAGCATCAGCTGCTCCACCAGCCAGTGGTAAATATTTATAACAATCTCAATACAACTGTTATTGTAATTTTAATGGTGATTTTTAATTATTCTTTTTATTGTTTAAGAACCCCAAGTATTGGGTTTTCCCGATGGATTCCCACGAGTTGTAGGTGGACACACTGCCAATGAGCATCAATTCCCATGGCAAGTATCCCTCCAAAGATTTGGAAGTCACTTCTGCGGTGGTTCCATCATCAATTCTGAATGGGTTCTTACTGCTGCTCATTGCATCAGTGGCACTTCCGGATTCGATGTAAGTAACTCATCTTTTTTAAATTCAATTCCATTGCTCTAAATACTAATGATTTCAAGAAATTACTTTAAAAATTATAAATATAGATGAATAATTCAAATTCTCCACAAAATTATATTTATTGCAATTTAAAGGGCTATATTAATTTTTACAGAAAGAAAATTAAGTTATTTTAAGATAATGATTTTTATTTAATGTATAGAAAAAATTCAAATTTTGTTAAGTAATAGTGCATAGTATTTTTAATTTGATTACAGTCATTAGCTATTATTGAGCTATAGCTTGCCTGCAAAAAATCATTTTCACAGCTGCTTTGTTGCATATATTAAACAATAAGTAGTTTTCTAATGATCTAAATATAGATTCATTAATTTTAAATTTATGACGAAATATATCATAGATGATCAAATATTTTAGTGACTATAAATGATCGCCAGCTCTGGTTTGAATTAATATTTATATTAATCAAATATATAATTTTTTGATGTAATATTATGATTTCAGGCCGTAGTAGGAAAACACGATCTTTCAAAAACTGAAGCTACTGAACAGCGATCTGCCTTCAAGAGAACCATTGTGCACAAATCTTATGCTGGAGGCGTCAATCCTTATGACATCGCTTTGGTAAATTATATTTTATTAAACAAAAAATAAGCATAAAATCAAAGTTCTATAAAAAAAACTATAAAAATATTCTAGATCCAAGTTGCCACACCATTCAAGCTGAACGAAAACGTTAAAGCTGTTAAGCTTCCAACTAAAGATGAGGCTCACTCAGGACAAGTTACTTTGTCTGGATGGGGATCTACTTCTACTTCCAGCTTCCCCAGCTACCCCAATAAGCTACAGGTAAATATATATATATATATATATATATATATATATATACAGGGCCGGTCCTGGGGTCTTCAGCGCCCGCATGCAAAATTTGTTCTTGCGCCCCCCCAATAATTTTAACTGTTTTAACGGTTTATCATTAAAAGTATATAAATATTTACGTACATTTTTTCAATTAATTTTTAATCGTAAGAAAAAATTAGATATAATTTAAAAGCGTATAAAATACATGGATTTTAAATTTATTTACAAAATCGTGACAATTCACGGGTTGATCGTAATCAAACATTTTTAAATTTCCAAGTATTTCTAACATATGTGTAATATTAATGTTTGGGTTTTAAACATTAATAACACTTGAGCATTTTACTTATTTATTGTGCGATTTATTCTGTTAAGCAAATCGAGCAAAAAAACTAGTCTTTCATTTTTAATATAACTCTCGTATTTCACGTAGGATTTTTTAAATTTTATTTTAATTTATTTTTTCAGTATTTACAATATTAAAATGTGCATCGTAAACTTCTCCTTATTGATATCGTAGAGGCCGAATTGATTCATTATTAGATTCAGAGTATTTTAACGTAATTTAAAAGTATTGTCAAAGATCAGTAAAAGATGCAAAGAAATCACATATTTCCTGAATATTGAAAAAAAATCTGATTGTATTTGTATCTGTATTATTTTTGCATAGTTAATAATTAAATTTAGAGTATGGGCACCACTAGATATAAAAAAAGCTCAACGATTTTTGTTCCAAAGTCATTTTTGTATTTTTTTTCATAACACTAACAACGCATGTCTTCAACGTTCAAAGTTCATCAGATGCGAAACATTTCAAACAAAAACAAAAGTTACAATTCAATTTCTCGGAATAAACAATCCATTTTCTAAGCACTGATCCCCATTTTCCATTTTTTCTATTATAATTAGTATATATTTCTTTAATAAGTACCGTTTCAAATAAATCAGCTCGTAATTTTTCATCAATAACGCCCAATAGTTAAATTAAACTTTCGTAGGTTTGCGCTTAGGGGATGTACACTAAATAATGTTTTTTCGATTTCACGTTAACTTCAAACGAAGAGAAAATGTAATAAGTACATTAAACAATAAGCAAAACAATAATTTACTAACTTGTAGAGTTAATAATCGGTTAATTGTCTCTACTGTATCACATTGCAAACTGAATATGCTTTTTGTGTCTCCGTATCCATAGTTAAGTCAGATTGTTTATTATAAACAATTTAAATAAAAAATAAAAAAATAATAATATATTATAAATTTCCGAATCTCGTTTTGGCGCCCCCTAAGGCGTGCGCCCGCATTTTTTGCATGCTTACTATTACTCGGTTATCCATGCGGGTTTACCGCATCACTCGGTTATCCATCTGAGGCAATATGATAGTTTGTTAGCGATTACGGCCAATAAAATTATTCCACGGCATTTTTTCAAAGAAACATTTTTCTGTCAATTTTATATTTTTTAAATGAAATACTTACGAATAAGAAGACCGGCCGATCTTGACCAAAAACTAATCAAAATTTTTTGAATGGTTTTTAAATTCGTTTCAGAATCGTTTTAGGATGTTTTGCACAAACATAAACTTCTCCTTGAGGAACTAACTAAATTTTGTAATATTTTTATGGCAAATTTATATAATACTTTTTTCATTATAATTCTTTAATTGCTTCTAAAATTATACGAGATAATATCACGATTTCTGGATGTACAAGTTTGTTCAAAAGTGCGTCAAGTTGCTGTTAGGTCACTATAAATACATTTATGTACCCCCAACATATAAAATGTATAAGATTTCAAATAGGTACTAAGTTTCTATTTTTGATTTATTAAAAAAGTTTGAAATTTTCAATACTGTCTAACAATTATACGACCTCAATACTTTGTTTTACGGATTAATGTAGTATGAGGGACCATGAGGAAGATGTGAATAATATATATTAATCATATTAAAGCCTTGGTCATTAATTTTTTTCATGATTGTTGTTTATTGAACAAAAGTATGAGTTTTTAACTGGTTTAATTTCTTTTTAGACCGTTGACAAACCAATCGTACCATACCCCGAATGTGAAAAGGCTCTAGGAGGAGCAGGATCTACTCCATTGCACCCAACAAACTTGTGCACTGGACCCTTGACTGGTGGAGTTAGCGCTTGCTCTGGAGATTCAGGTGGCCCACTTGTACAATATAACGGAAGCGAGGTCAGTAATTTTAGAATAAAATTTTTAATCGATATTCATAGTCAAAAGATATTTAATTAAGAAGCACATTGCAAACAAGTTCCAGAAAAAGAGGAATCTTGTTATATGCAGCCCCATTAAATTTTGATGTAATCAAAATTCTTTTTAAGTAAATAATGTTTAACGTTAATAATGTTATATGATGATCTGATACGCGTTTATAGTTAAAACCAAGTTCAAAATATTAAATAAAAAATGAATATTCATTAAAATACACCACTAAACCCATTTAATTACATTATATTACCTGTCTGATTTTGATTGAGTTTTTAACTCGTGTTTGTACCAGAAAAAAAGGTCATTTATAAATTCAGGGAACGCAATATAGTCTAATGTGAGATAGTTTTATTATGTAAGTTATTAAAAAATTTTGTTTCTTTACTGTAGGCTACACTTTTGGGTGTTGTGTCCTGGGGCTACATTCCTTGCGGTGGTGTTGGATACCCATCAGTTTACACCAGGGTCTCTGCTTATGTGGACTGGATCAAACAAAATGCCCAATAGATTCAACAACTACGAAATTTATTCAAAATTTTAATCTCACACGTAACGAATTAATGACTTTCTGATTAGAAGATTTTTTGTACATAAAACTTATTTTTGACCTTTGTTATTTTTAAATAAATTATATACACATATGTAACGATTTTTAAATTTTTGTTGAATTTCATTACAGATATTTAAACACTTTTTAACCTGAAAATTTAATTCGTTTTTAAAGTGAAAATTTAGGGTGCTTCACGTGAAATCACTATGATTTTTGTGGCATTCGATTATTTCCAAGATAATTTATTGACCCTGCGTACATTTTGATATTGCCTTTTTTTCATCATACTATAGGAAAATTTAATAAAGTTTATCAAAATTGACCAGGCTTCTTCAGTAACTTTGCATTACTTATATTTGATAATTTAAATAAAATCAAGAAGTTATAAAATCAGTATAAATAGATTAAAATTTAATTAAGAGAAAAATCTTTTTATAGTGTATGCAGATAACTGCAGAACTGAAAATACAATCATAATGATAATGTGTAAGAGAAGAAAATGATCCATTAATGCTTAAAAATTATACATGTTGGAGAAAGAAATAATAAATAACAAATAGGAATAAATTTCAGACATAATGTTATTGGGCCAGCTAACTAGTCGCGGGTTTGCTGGTTTGATTTCAGCCACGACCAAGGCCGACATCAGGTAGCTTTGATATCAAATTTCCGTTTGAGGTCTTAAATCTTAATATGATCCCTATTGCTGCGAATAAATCATGCCAAAATGTCAACAAATCCTTCGAGTATAGTTGATTAGCTACAATTGGATTGGACAACTTGGGTTGCCATCCTTTCAAAAAGCCTATGGGTTGCCATCCTTTCAAAAAGCCTTGGGTTGCCATCCTTTCAAAGGTTGCCATCCTTTCAAACTAACATATACTGAATGTTCTAGTATGACATATTGTAATTAAAAGTATAACAAAAAAATAAAATAACTTAATAAAATCCTACTTAAGTACTTGATATTCAACAAATTTGTACATATTTCTATTTTTCATTTTACTCATTTTATGACCTTTTATATTCTCAATATATCATTATTGGCTATGTGCGAAGGCATGGAAGGGGAAGTCAAATCGACCGAAGCGTTCGTAGTGGCTAACTTGGAGCACTAAAAGGGGCTATTATAAACAAAATTTTAAACAACAACACATAAAATATTTATTTATTTCAAATTTAAATAAGATAATTAAAAATGAGCCACCATAGCTGTTCTGTAGTGGGCTGTAGAAATACCAGCAGAAAAAGTGACTGCAAATTCTATACATTTTCTACAGCTAAGTGGAAAGAAAATCAACGGGAAAAGTGGATCGCAGCGGTTAGAAGAATAAAGTAAGTATCATAACCTTATTGTTATAAAAATACAATTCGGAGTATTATGAATAGTTGTAAAATTGTTATGTTTAGCAAAAAGAAAAATTATAAGTCAATAAATTGTTGTATTATCAAAATTTAATGCTTACTAAAAAAATTGTTTTGTAAAACAATGTAATTAATACAAGCCTGAAATAATGAAAAATACATATTTATATATTGTATATTGATTATGTATAACTATTATCTATATATTAATTACATTTTATTATATAATAATTGTAATTTTATGATTAAAAGAAAAATAAAAGTTATCACATAGCGAAAAAATGTTTATTTTGCAAACAGTTTAATTAATACAATGCTGAAATAATGCGAAATATATATTTGTAGTGTTGATGGATCACCGTGGGTTCCCAAGCATTTGCAGTGAATCGGTCGAGGTATTGAGTCCTACCTACTTGTCAACAATATTTCCTTCAATAAGTTAATTTCGAAAAGTTAATGTAGTTTTTTTCCTGCAATTTTATTTGATGGGTCTTGTCTTTATAATAATGTCTAAATTATGCCTTTATAATAATGTCTAAGTCTTTAGTTTGACCAAAAAATTGAATAAATTAATTTACTATTTACTTATTCTATTGATAAAATATTATTTATCATTATTATATTGTTTTTATTAAGAACTATTCCGAGTTTATGACATAAGCTTTGAGGCACTTAACCTTACAAATATTTACTGCATTTCTTTAATTAATTAATCATTATACTTAACAATGTTTTAAGTACGTTGAAGTAAATTTAATAATTTCAATAAACATTCAGCGTTCACATTATTACTGTATCTTGTTTATTATTATTTATAACAATTATTTAATATCTTTTTTCTTTAACAAACATGTAAAACCCATGAAAACCACACACTGATAACCCCAATTAGTTCATATTTATTACGGCGCTGCATGGGCGCTGCAGTCACGCTCGGAGCGAATAGAGTTTTTCATATGTTTGCGTACTGATATTAAAAAAAATCTACATTATTCTTTACGTATTTAGGAAATAATTCTTATAGTAATTTTAATTTTATATTAATAAGGTAATTTATATTAATAATCAAAATATGATACGACTCCCAAATTCTGAAATATTTAAAATGCAAATTATTGCCAGATTTTAGAATTCATACCTTGGCAGTGGTTTGCCAGTTAGGCTTCAATGGTAAACCTCATGTCTAGTTTTAGTTTTATAGAAGTAGAAGTCAGCACTGTAGTTAAATACTGCCGCTTTGTAAGCAATGTTGATTTGATGAGTCATAATCATATTTGGTAGTGAGGCTGTTGATTTGACTAGTTCCAATATTATGTGAACAGTTTTATTTTTCTTGTTTTGTGATGTGTGGTGTAATGATGTGTATGTAAAATCATAAAATTGTGATTCTTAAAAAGGAAAATTTGTAATTAAATATCACATCGTAATTTTCATAGTTTGCAACTCTTTTGGGTAATCGATCAATGTGGATAAACTTGGCAAATGCAATAACAAATAATGAAATAACGTGGTAATTACATCACAAACAATGACGTGTTGGTGGTGAGTTTTTTTTTTGTTCAATGTTGAAACAAATTATGTATTTTGTTAATTAACACCCTATGCGTCGAAATAAAATATTGTGAAATTTGTTCTGAACCCATGCGGTTTTCTAACCTAACATTATATAATTTTTGTTCAGAATGTTGTTTTGTTTGTTTTTTCAATTATTGTGCAGTGTTTATAAAGCTCATTTTGTTATCAAAACTATACTACTTTTAATACATTCAACTTATTTTGACGCATTGGGAGTTAATTAATTAAATAATATATAAACATATCATTATATATACTGGCATGTGCGGCCACGCTTTGCTGCGGCTTTTATTATGAACAATTGCATTGAAATTTCAATCTGATCGATAAAATCAGCAATGCTTCAATGCTAATGATAAGAATGTTGTAAGTTTTGTATAAATATTCATATAAAATTTACTATAAATAGCAATGTGACTTTTTTACTTATAAATGTGTTGCACCCTATGTAGCATAATTATTATTTCGTTTAGTAAGTTTTTTTTATAACATTTTAACATATTTATGACGAGGTATTTTGGAATAGTTTTATAGGTTGCATTTCAATGAGCATTTTCAATGGCCTTCATATGTGTGTTTTAGAAACCTTACAACCTATAAGCTTTTGAACTGAAACTTTTCTTACTTCGTATTTTTAGATGGTAACCCAATGTTAACCATCTATATTTTACAATTTTATATCATTAGAATTTATCTAATAGGGCTGATATTTTTTATTGGTGCAGAAATTCCGGGTGAGAGCTCTTTTCACTTGGAAACATATTGTTTTCTGTATTCCAAATGAAAATTGTTGTCACTGTTGCCTCACAACAGGCTGCTCGAAGTGAGTATCGAACCCGGGACCTCTGAATCAAGTCCCATCGCTCCCGCATATCAATTCAGTGCATAATTTATCTTTGTTTTTGTTTTTAACATGATATTGGTATGTACTAGTATTGACTTGTCCTATAAAGTCAACGATTATTACATAATTAAAATAAACATATGCTATCAAACAATTCAAAATTCTGATTATTCTAAGCAGAAGTGTCTTATCTTTTATTGTAAATTAATTTGAAAATATATTATAATCATCGTCAAATAATAATATGAATTATAAATTTAAATAATTAGAAACAATTTATAATTTTCCTTTCAGTTCATGTCTGATGCATAATAGTGCCTTTTGTCATAATAATGAGAGAGATCAAATATAATTTTCAAATTGCGTATTTTGAGAGAATGAAACTTTTATAAGTGAGCACTCAAAAACCAGCAATTGGTTTATCAAAGTTATATCAATAGTTTTCAATTCTGCACTAAAACTGCACATTTTTTCCATAAGTCTATACATTGTGTTTTTGTAAATCATAACTGATAATGTAATTGATAGCATTTAAACTACAAATTCTTACTAGTATTTCAATTAGTATGTATTTTAAATAATATTTTAACTAATACTTCATTCAATAAAATCTGTATCGATTTATTCTGAATAACCCATCTAATTATGTTGGTTAAAGATGATAAGCAATTTTTAGAAGCCACCAAGGAGATTTTTTTTTTATCTCACTGTAATTTGGGCGCAAAATTTTAGTAATCGTCAATGATAGTTTTGATCTTAAACTACTAGAAATAGACAATTTAAGTTTTTTTTTCAAATACTTTCGTTAAATTATTAATAGTATACATGTGAGGTGTATCAAAGACATATTGTGATGCCTATTATGTATATTATATTATTGAAATAATTTTAAATATCTGCACTTTATAATTAGGATTGCGTATAAAGATGTTCTATATTTGTGCAAAAGTAAAGGACACCAAAACTTTTTCAAAAATTAAAATGCATGATTTTTAAATTAATTTATTTTATTCCCGTCGTTAAATATCCATTTTTTACTAACACAATAATTATTACATCACATATATGGTGATCAGAATAATTACGATATATAGAATATAATATTATTATTTAGTGTTTTCCTTAATCCAATCCAAGTATCCAGAAACTCTCGTATAAACTGAAGGTCTGTTCAAAGACCCACAAGGAATGTAACCCCAAGATACAATACCCAGGAGTGTAGCCTATAACAATAATAATTAATTTATAAATTATTCAAAAATACATTGAGTATAAATTTTTAGAGAGATTACCTCATTTCCGTTGTATTGCACCAGGGGTCCGCCGGAGTCTCCGGAGCATGCACTGACTCCGCCGGTTAAAGGTCCGGTGCAGATATTCAAGGGATGGAGCGGAGATGCTCCGGGACCTCCCAAAACCTTTTCGCACTCAGCATAAGATACAATTGGTTTGTTCACGGTCTAACATCAAATCGTATATTGATTATCAAGCACAATCTAATAGATTTTATTTCATTACCTGCAAGAGATTTGGATATGTAGGGAAACTAGTAGACGATGTAGAACCCCAACCGGATAATGTAACCTGCCCTGAGTGAGGTTCATCTCTCAATGGCAATTTCACAGCCTGCACGGCTTCATTAAATTTAAATGGTGGATCCACTTCAATCTGATTTAGTAATAAAAATTTTAACTTTAATTTATTAAACAAATATATTTTTTACGTACCACTGCAATATCATAAGGACCAACGCTTCCTCCGTATGATTTGTGCACAAAGGTTCTCTTGAAGGCAGAACGTTGTTCAGTCGACTCGGTCTTGGACAGATCATGTTTTCCTGCTACCGCCTAAGAGAAGTATTTTAGCACAATCTTGGCACTTGTTATTGCATTACTTTTTTGAATAACTGAGTTTACATCGTACCTCAAATCCATTTATACCCATGATGCAATGTCCTGCGGTTATCACCCATTTGGAGTTGTATATGATGCTGCCAAACATCTGCAAGGACACTTGCCACGGGAATTGATGTGGGTCCGCGGTGTGGCCGCCAACCACTCTCGGAAAACCGTCAGGAAAACCGATTACATCCTCATCTAAAATGTCAAATATTAGATTTTTCAATGTAATAATGATAATGACAATAATTTTTTTGACTGCCTAAATATGAATTTTTGTCTGCCTAAATATTCTTACCCGGAGCAGCTGTAGCCGCTGCTACAAACAAAAAGGCTAATATAACTTTCATTTTTTAAATCTTGCTGTGATGGGAAACTAGTAGACGATGTAGAACCCCAACCGGATAATGTAACCTGCCCTGAGTGAGGTTCATCTCTCAATGGCAATTTCACAGCCTGCACGGCTTCATTAAATTTAAATGGTGGATCCACTTCAATCTGATTTAGTAATAAAAATTTTAACTTTAATTTATTAAACAAATATATTTTTTACGTACCACTGCAATATCATAAGGACCAACGCTTCCTCCGTATGATTTGTGCACAAAGGTTCTCTTGAAGGCAGAACGTTGTTCAGTCGACTCGGTCTTGGACAGATCATGTTTTCCTGCTACCGCCTAAGAGAAGTATTTTAGCACAATCTTGGCACTTGTTATTGCATTACTTTTTTGAATAACTGAGTTTACATCGTACCTCAAATCCATTTATACCCATGATGCAATGTCCTGCGGTTATCACCCATTTGGAGTTGTATATGATGCTGCCAAACATCTGCAAGGACACTTGCCACGGGAATTGATGTGGGTCCGCGGTGTGGCCGCCAACCACTCTCGGAAAACCGTCAGGAAAACCGATTACATCCTCATCTAAAATGTCAAATATTAGATTTTTCAATGTAATAATGATAATGACAATAATTTTTTTGACTGCCTAAATATGAATTTTTGTCTGCCTAAATATTCTTACCCGGAGCAGCTGTAGCCGCTGCTACAAACAAAAAGGCTAATATAACTTTCATTTTTTAAATCTTGCTGTGATATGATTTGTTTGCATTAAAATCGCGGTATTTATAATAAAATGCATCGTGCGACTTTTGATTCATGCGTGAGATCGTATCTTCACCAGACGAACGATTAGATACTGACCTGCGCATTGTCTGGACCGTCTACTAATGTTTTCGAAGATTCCTGCCGATCTTCTTTATCAAATATTTAATAGGTAATTAAAAACATCGTGATAAATTATGCATATTTTTAACATTATTTATATATCAATAAGCCGATATTATATCAGATAATAAAAAAAAATAAAATATATAAGATAAATTGGTTAGGCTTTAGAATCAACTTTAATCATTTACATACACTTAACTTCCATTATTACAAGGGAGACTTAGGTACAAGTCAATAAACTTATCTATTGTTTTAGTCAATTAAAAATTAACTAAAATTAGGGATAAGACTTTTTGATATTCTTATATACTTTATTGATATTCTTGGATATAATTTATTGGAAGATTTTACATATTTATTATTTATAAATAATTTAGTTTTATGGGTTGGAAAATAAATGGTCATTTAAGTTCCACAAGGAAGCAATATCCCATATTCTCGAAATTTTGATGTTGAAATTTGCGTACCTATATGTTTCATGTTAACACATAAAATAACAAGAAGAATCTTTTATAGGATTATAAGTTTTCCTGAATGATTTGGCATACCAACTTATTTTACCTTTATTGGTATTTTGTGTTTAAACTTGATTAGTTTGTAATATATTGACAAATAGAAGGTCTACTAAGTCTTTGTTCTAATTTAAGTCAATTTAAAAAATTATTTGAATAAATATATGATATCAATATTAAATCCGATTCTTTTATCACTATTCCCTTTCTTATCTATGATCGAATTAATAATCAGTATGAACTAAAGTAGCCTTATAATGAACTGCTATGTCCAGCGCAAAATAAGTGCTCAAACTTAGATGGGTATATATGTGAAGGTCTAAGCGAACATAGCCGACGACAATCGCGGACTCTCCCGATTGATTATAACATTTAATGCAATGTAATGTCTATGCAGCCAACTCATACTACTACTCAACATAAATGACTAGTAACATTAATTGAATTTGAATGAATGTTACAAAATCGTTATGTTCTAAATCAGCACCATTAAAGGCACTGTTTAGAAAATAAAGCTATTATAAAATATTTTCATGTTTGAAGTAAAACTTTTTTAGGCGCGACTGTGGTGTAAATCCATACAAATGCAACGGAAGTGCGTTACGGCCGAGTCAAGTTTCAATGATTCGTCATTTGCTCTAGATGATATCATTTCTATACGGGTCAATTGTGATTAGTCGTCTTGTATGTGAAAAGTGATCTGTAGTGGTATGCGTACCGATATCAGCATAAGAAAATCGGCATAGATAAATAAACATTTTAAAGTTATATTGTAGAACAAATCTATATTTAATGAAATATGCCAAAATTAGAAAAATATTTTATTTATTGAAAATAATAAAACAAATTAAATATTTTTTCCGCGAACTAAACGTAAGTTTATTGATTATAAATTATTTATATATTAATTGTAGTTTCTATGAATCTTTAAAGTAATTAAAATGGAAAATATTTTTTAGGCAAGACAGATATTACAGCGTTTCAAAGAATGAGATTATATCGCCAGCGAAAAAGTATGAATGTATGTTAATTTTAATTACATGAAGTTTTTCAAACACAATTAGATGATGAGTGAAGTTGCGAAAACAATATTTGTTTAGGCGTTGTTTAACATAATCCACTGTGTGAACAAATATTATAGAATTTATTAATCAGTAATTACTTCATTTCTCTAATGAAGGTTCATTTCTAAATGCTAATTACAATGACAAACCGATCATGTCATAGAATAATTGTTTTTAAATATTATACATATTTTAATGCCTTTATAATTATATAATTCATAATTTATCATTATATAAATGTGTATAATGGTCGACACTAATAAATGTGTGCATTACGAATGTTACCATATGACTGGTGAACATTATTCAAAATTAGTATATGACGATTTATTTTTACTTAAATGCCATCTTGTACAGTAGCAAACAAGTTTTACTTCAATCGCGTGTAAAACTAACGCGCACTTTTTTTTGTTTGATGTTTGACCTGCAGCATCAATACAAGTCTGAGTACGAGTCACAACTGATTCTGTACATCACAAGGTTGCAATTTTGTGAATGAATTCAGGAGATGGTGAAACGTGAACCGGGATTTATGGGTAGCATCATTTAGCCCCGCACTATCACAGGGACGTACGACTTTACCTGGATCAAAATTTGTCGGGCCAGTGGATAGGACGCAGGGGGCCAATCGAGTTTCCAGCACGCTCTCCAGACCTTACACCACTGGATTTCTTCTTGTGGGGCACAGTAAAAGACGAGGTGTAAAAACGTAAACCACGTAACCTAGACATTCTTTGGAATGAGATTCAAGCAGTGTGTAGAGAAATCTCATTGAAGGTTTTGATACGATGTACAGAATCAGTGGTGACTCGTACTCAGAGTTGTATTGATTATGCAGGTCACCAATTTATACAGTATTAACATTTGTTATTTATGTTTCATTTAAATTGGACTTTCAGTTTTCTATTTTCCTAAAATTTAACTTTGTAGACTGGTAAATAAATTTTCTATGAAAGTTCAAAATGTGTATACATTTTTTTGAAGCACCCTGTAAATATATGTATATATATATATATATATATATATATATATTATCTTGTGTTTATTGGATGTATAAATATGATATTTTAACCCTCCGTCGGTCGGCGTGATCTGGCCAGACTTTTTTCGACTTCAATTAAAAAAATAAAATACTTCTAGTAATCCTATCGACTTGAACTTTCTTGACTTTTCCTAAAATTTCATTAGGTGTCGATCAATGAAAAAATCAGGACAAAAAAATGTACAGAAGGATAATTATAAGAATATTAACTTTTTTATACTTCGAACGGTCGGAAAGGTCTGTCTAGACCACCTATACATTTGTAGGAAATATACGCTTTTTGATATATGTAAACCAGTATTTTGTCTTTTTTCATGGTATTTTCTATTCAAACTGCGTTGTATATATTCTTTGCTATGTGTTGTAACATGAATGTTAGTATTTTCATGACGAGAGTTCTTGGAAAACCTATCAAACTTATTGGTAATCACAAATACTGAAAATCGGATGAGTAATGCGCACATTATCAACAATTTTTCTACCCGTAGTACTGCATTCAAATTTTTTTGGCAAACCTGTAGTGAAATTATATTTTCAACTTGAATTTTACAGCTTATTTCAAAGGCGACGCACCTCATTTCGTTTTCATTTGAATTTCACATTCATTTCGAAGGAGCCAAAAAAGAATAAATATTGTTTTCCATTGATATAAAACAGACAAATAAAAATAATAAAAAAGCAACGATTTTTTTATATTCTTTGATTTTTTTTATATAATATAATATAATATATATATATATATATATATATATATTATAAGCAAGCTCAACACATGCAAAAGATAGTAAGAAAAAAAAATCAAAACTATAAATATTTACTACTAATAATCGTTAATATATAAGACACCAAAAACTCATTTATCCCATATAAATGCATGTAAAATGAATGGTGGTCCAGCCAGACCTTTCCGACCGTTCGAAGGTGAAAAAATATCCGACCGACGGAGGGTTAAATATCCTTTATTTCTAATCCCGTGCTACTTTTATTCATGGGTATTTCATGGGTAAACAACTCTCTCAAGTTGTTGAAATGTTTTATTTTGATTTGCAAGATAAAATTGTTACAATAGTTTTGATAATGACTTCTGCATATTGTTATATCATATAATAAATGAGTATTATTCAGAACAAGTTTCTATTTATATGATTAAATATTCATGGATCAAATATACCTTTGTGTTGAAACAATAGTATAAGTGTTAAAGTAACATAAATTTCGTGTCTTAAATTACTAAATTAAAACTATTTTCCAAAATAACAAATATTTTTGTTCGATACAATAAAACTTTAAATGTAAAAAGATTTTAGTTTTTAAAAAACTATTATAATTTAGAAGTAAATGAAATTGTAATATTGTTTGTATTTCCTTTTTTACTAATGACATTTTTGACGCTCTTAGGTATATTCCTGCAAATTTTGCTTAATGCATAAATTTTATAGAAATAATTTTCAATATAATAGATGTAGTAATTTTGACTATGTTAACAAAACTGATTTTATAAACAAAATGTTGTTGTTGCGCGATCTTGTTAAATTTCTCTTGTTCTAAAATTATAGATACATATAGAATTAAAACTATATTACAAATTATATACAACTGAGACTGGGTTAAAATTATAGATTGGAAAAATTTTAAGCGAAGACAGAGGAGCAATTGTTCTATTATATTAAATGTAACCGAAATTTGCAATTAGGGTTTCGCGTTAGTGAAAAATGAAAACCTAATTTTAGAATGTAGTTTATTTTAGTTTAATAGAAAAATTGTGTCAGATGAATTAAGTTGATGCTGAAATTAATAAAAAGTAATTTTGTTTTTTGTTTTTAGTAACTATTGAATAAAATAAAATTTGCTACTTTATTATAATTCAGTTAATTTGTATATTATGTAGAAGGCTAAATGTTATTAGAGGCCAATAATAATAAAGTAAAACAAATCATTATATACTAACCAACATAAAAATACATTTAGAAATATAAAATTAAATGCATTATATTCAATTTCTACATTTTTATTAATTTTATAAAAATTGATTCACAAATAAAAAATTATTTATGCAATATCATAGAATATTATTATTTAGTATTCTCCTCAATCCAATCCAAGTATCCAGAAACTCTCGTATAAACTGACGGTTTGTTCAAAGATCCGCACGGGATGTAACCCCAGGATACAATACCCAACAGTGTAGTCTGTAATGATAACCCTTGAATTAAGACCCAGAAAAACCAAAATGACTGATGTTTTATAATTATTCTGAAGTTTTAGAGAGATTACCTCATTTCCGTTGTATTGCACCAGGGGTCCGCCAGAGTCTCCGGAGCATGCGCTGACTCCGCCGGTTAAGGGTCCGGTGCAGATATTCAAGGGATGGAGTGGAGATGCTCCGGGACCTCCCAAAACCTTTTCGCACTCGGCATAAGATACAATTGGTTTGTTCACGGCCTAACAACAAATCGTATATTGGTTATCGTGCACAATCTAATAGATACCAATTTATTACCTGCAGAAGATTTGGATATGTGGGAAAAATAGTAGTCGAGGTAGATCCCCAACCGGATAAAGTCACCTGCCCTGAATGAGGTTCATCTCTCAAAGACAACTTCACAGCCTGCACGGCTTCATTAAATTTAAATGGTGGATCCACTTCAATCTGAAAAAGTAATCTTATTTATAACTAATAAAATCTTATTTATAAAACAAATTTATTTTTTACGTACCACTGCAATATCATAAGGACCGACGCTTCCTCCGTACGATTTGTGCACAAAGGTTCTCTTAAAGGCAGAACGTTGTTCAGTCGACTCGGTCTTGGACAGATCATGTTTTCCTGCTACCGCCTAAGAAAAGAAGCATAATCTTGGCACTTGTTATTGCATTACTTGCTTGAATAACTAATCTTACAACGTACCTCAAATCCATTTATGCCCATGATGCAATGCCCAGCGGTTATCACCCATTTGGAATTGTATATGATGCCGCCGCAAAAGTGGCTGCCAAACATCTGCAAGGACACTTGCCACGGGAATTGATGTAGGTCCGCTGTGTGGCCGCCAACCACTCTCGGAAAACCGTCAGGAAAACCGATTACATCCTCGTCTGAAAAGTTAATCATTCAATTTTTTAATGTAACTATGAATGTTGGAATAAATAACTATTTCATAGCTACAATTTTGGAAATGAATAATCGACTGCTTAAGTTTTCTTACCTGGTGCAGCTGTAACCGCAGCTACCAATAAAAAGGCTAATATAATTTTCATTTTTCAAATCTTGCTGTGATATGAATTGTTTTCATTGAAAACGCGGTATTTATAATAAAATGAATCGTGCAACTTTTTTTGATGCGTGAGATCGTATCTTCACCAGACGAACGATTAGATACTGACCTGCGTCTGGACCGTCTTATGTTTTGACTGTAGTCCTAACTCAAATGTAGCAGAGGATTAGTTTAGTATAAATATATATATATATATATATATATATATATAAACTATAACTATATATTTTTATATTTATATCTGTATCGAATATGATTATTATCTCTACTTAATCTATAAAATATTGTATAAGTACGTTGATTATCGACATTTTACTACGGCTATACATTTCTGTATTGCTTTCTGTATTAAAGTTTGTTTTCAAAATTTCAATGTAAATTTTATTTTGGCCAATAATTTTCAAATTATGAAGTCATTTGATGTTGCACATATGCAATATTCCTCTCTTTTGTTTGATATATTATTTAATATTTCCGCAAATCTAATATTTCTACAACTATTACTTTGAAAAGATAATTAACGATGTAAAAATACTATTACTTTGTTAGTTATTTCATAAATAATTTGCAATTTATTTTAAATTACTGTTCATAATCCTTTCAAGATACAAAGTCCTTTAGAAGTTGAGAATTCAAGAAAATTAAAATCAATATGTTATCCCTAATGAAAAGTTATAACTTTTAATTAAATATTTCGTTTCTAGCAATCTATTTAATATAGTATTCTTTGTGACTGCATTTAATTAAATTTATTTGTTATTCTTAAACTTGAGCAAGTTTTTATCATTACACTAAACATTTCTCCGAAGCAGAAAAATCTCGGTATTTTACAATATAATTAATGGCGGATGTGTAAATATTATTTATTTTGCTCTTGAATAAACCATATTTGTAACTTTTCAATTCACATTCATATTTATATATGTTTTATTAGCTGTTGCGATGATGTAAATTAACTACGTCAATTTAAAAGGCAGCATAATGGTTGGACTAAATGTATTTGATAAATTTATTATTACATTTTCTGTAATTCTGATATTTTTATTGATACAGCAATTCAGAGTAAGGGTTTTTTTACATGGAAACATATTGCTATCTTTATCTATATTTCCAGTGAAAATTGATATAACTACTGCCTTATATAAGGCTGCCCAAGGCAGGGGTTGAAGCTTTTGATTGGAATCCTATAGTTCTCATCTTGTAATTGAACACAATATAGTAATAAAAACATACAAATAGCTTTGACCGTTCTTCGATTATTGCTGTATTATAATTGTTAACCAAATTAATAACTTCCCGTAAGATAGTTCTAGTAATGGGCCGAAAATCGAAAATGAAAATTTCCGTGCGTGTGTGTGTCTTGTATGTCCACATTTTTTTGTCCAAGTTTTCGGGCGCACGGATCAACCGATTTGAATGGTTCAAAAAACATTCGATCCCTATTTATAGGGAGATGTGCTGATCAGTTTTTGGCAAAGGCATGTACGGAGATACGAGGCAAAGAGTGCAGAAAATACAAATCGAGTTTTTGAGAGAACGGAGTATCCGATTTGAATGTTCTAAAAAACATTCAGTTTGTAAAGATTGAAAGAAGAGGTGATTAGTTTTTATCAAAGGCAGGTCCAGCTATTTCGAAAATACAGAGCTAGATGTGCAAAAAATGACAGTTTTTGAGAGAACTAAGCGTCCGATTTGAATTATTCAAAGAACACTTTCTGCTTGTTTCAACAAAATAATTAATTGCTTTTGGAAAAAAATGTTTTTAATATTTTTTTTCAAAAGATTTTTATTTAATTTTTTTTTGTGTATCGAAAATAATTCAGATTTTAATTTTCATTCTGTTCTAATATACTTTAAATAAGTAATTTCAACTTTGCAATTCAGTTTATAATTCTTAAAAATATTAAACAATATTACAATATTTAAAAAAACCTATTTGAAAACACTTAATATTCCTCGATCATTTCGTTACGGTGCGGGAAGTTCCAGCAATTTGCCTAAAGGCACGATGCCATATACCACTAGTTGTTAGTTATTTCACAAATAACTATAGTTATTTAGGGAAAATTTTTGCAAAAACTGTACAAACAATACGCAATTAAACTAAGTTTATAAACGTGAGAAATATATTTCATAGAATATTTTATATGAAGTTTTGTATTATTAATTTATTGCTGCTTATTTGAATTATTAATTAATTTTGCTGCTTAAAAATAAGATTATTATATGATTCATATAATGCCGGGTAATATGTAAACAATGCACATTCTTTGTCTTCGCGATATGCAATTTGATTGGAGATAAGTATAAATTTAAAAATGATTGAAACGCATAATATAGTAGATAAGTGATTCATTCTTAGTACTTGATTTTATATAAATAGGAGAATGTGCCCACTTTCCTCATATACGACAGTTATTAACAAACATGAAACTTTATGTTTTTACATTGATCATCGCAGCCGCTGTTGCTGCACCAACAAACGGTAAGTTTTTGAATAATATTTAATCACATCTTATTTTAATCAACTTATATTTTTAGTTTTCTTCATTAATGTGTTTTATGTGAAGTTTGTGGAATAATATTTTGAAATGGTAATAAAATAAATAAAATTAAACTAGTGGTGCAAGGCATCGTGCCTCAAGAGAAATTGCTAGAACTTCCCGTACCAAAATTTAAATTTGTTAAAAACCTTAAAAAAATTATGAAATGTTTGAAAAAAAAAGATTTTTGTTAATTGTTCATTTTTTTAATGAACCTGACATTTTTTACATTTGAAATTTTTTGAAACATTCGAACATTTTTGATCGATCAAACTATCGCGCCAAAATGTTGAGAATCTTTTGAAACGCAAAGATATATAAGACTTTTCATTTTCGTTTTTTGCGAATACTATAACTTACTCTACTGGAAGTTAATTATGTATTAATAAATTATAAAAGACATTATTATTATTATTTGATGACTATGGATCAGAATTTGATTAAACATTTTTTAGTTCTTATATTGTATTGTATTTTCATATCTTTGATAAAATCTCTCATTTATACTTTTTACTTTTTCTTAGAAATCGATTGGATTGGCTTTCCCGAAGGTTTTCCTCGTGTAGTTGGTGGCCAGACTGCCAAACCTCACCAGTTCCCCTGGCAGGTTTCCCTGCAAAGGTCCGGAAAGCATTTGTGCGGCGGTTCCATCTTGAACGACAGGTGGGTCTTGACTGCCGCGCACTGCATAAGCGGAACTGAAAATTACGAGGTAAGACATATTTTTGTCAAAAAGAAAATTTATTTTTATTGTAATGTCGTTTTCGCCATAACATCTATTTTCCAATATAAATGAATATTTAGTTATTTATTTTTGAGCTATTGCTAACATTATATATTTCATTAATATTTCTATTTTATTATATTAATATTTATTTAAAATTCGAGTTTAACTCAGCTCCCAGACCTGTTTTAAGACAGACTACTCATTATTATTTATTTGAATTGACTGATAATTAATTTGTGTAGGCTGTAGTCGGAAAACACGATTTGTCGAAAAGCGAATCATCTGAGCAACGTTGCGCCTACAAGAGGACCATCGTCCACTCGTCCTTCACTGGAAGGGTGGGTCCTTACGATGTCGCTTTGGTAAGTTTTTCATTTTATATATAACATAATCGAGTTCTCATTGATAACGATTCGATCATTGTTCTGTAACTAATCCTATGCTATGTTAATACGTTAACATACTTTATATTCAACAGTAAAAGTTTTTATCAAACAAATTTATTTTGTGAATTGCTTCACTCACATAGTTACCGACCCCTTATATTGTATGATTATGCTTATGGTTTATAATATTTATAATAATTAAGTAGAGTAGTATTAGATTTATATTGCATAATTTAAAATAATAGAAACTCATTATCACTTACGTGATATTCATTGAATTAAATAATCATTAAACTATTTTTGTTACATGAATAAGCGTCTAAAATTTAAAATAATCAAGTTATGCTTCTAAATGGTTTAATAAATAATCAAATCGATGAATTTTATTTAAAATAGTTATGTACATGTTGAATATAAACACTTTTAAAAGTACATATTAATTGTATTAAGAAATTAAAATAGTAGATACATATTATTTAACTACAATGCTATCATGAATATGACAATATATTAGGAATGTGAATATATAATATATTGCAATGTTTACAAAATTGGATCAATATCTTGAATACTTTTCATAATAGTAATAACAATAAACTGTAAATAACTAATTTATAAATGTATATAATTGTTGATTGACTTTTTTTATTTTTTGATAAATCAGATGGCTTGTTAATTATAGCATACTTTATATCATTTAAGATTGAATTAGAAACACCTTTCAAATTGAACGATAATGTAAAGCCAATCAGACTTCCATTGAAAGATGAAGCACATTCTGGACAAGTGACGCTTTCTGGTTGGGGATCTACTTCAACTACCATCTTCCCCACTTACCCAAATGAACTACAGGTAATGAATTATATTATATGTTAATAGTTTTTGTTCATGCTAATTAATATTTCTAATATTTCAGTATGTTGACAAACCGATTGTTCCATATACTGATTGCGAAAATGCTATGGGCGGACCAGGAGCATCTCCTCTTGATCCTTTGAACATCTGCACTGGTCCCTTGACTGGTGGCATCAGTGCTTGCTCTGGTGATTCTGGTGGTCCACTTGTTCAATACAATGGCGACGATGTGAGTTATTATTCTTCAATTAATGGTCATGCAGGTTTTTAATAGTTTGTTAAATTTTCTTCATTATTTTCATGAAGGTTTTCATTTTCATTTTTTGTTTTATAATGAATAGTTTTAATACTAAAACATACATTGGCATCAAACATATTCAATCTTTACGGTGATTGAAACATTGAAACTTAGTGAGGTCTTCTGCGCTGCCTTTCTGAAAGTTAGTATCAAACTTTCTTTCATGTTTCAGTATTTTATATAAGTAACGTAAATTTGTCAACTTTTTTTGTTCGAAACTCATACCCATATCATAAACAATTTTGCGACACCAAAATCAATTCGATGGTACATTTACTTTTATATCAATTTCCACAAAAAGACACATAATACTCAGAAAAAATGATCAATTTTTAATCACGCAAAATAAAAGAAATAATATAAACTATATTCAAGAATCACATGTAATTACAAATTAAAAAATAGTGATCGGACTTGAAGATGAAATAAGAAAGAAATAAACAATTTTTACTTCTCAATTCTAACATTCCTACAGGATATTTCTTTCACACATCATTAGCTAAGCTTTATAATCTAATCATAATTGTTTTATCGCTCACAGTTCATAACTATAAGAATATTACAATCCTATTTCAGTTTTTTATAGCAAATCTTGATAAGTATCTATAAATGTCTGATTCGTATTAGTGTTTTGCGGACTACATGAATTATGTTCATTTTGCCACTTAATTGAATATTAATCAATTTTAATATAATATACTACCGTTTCATATTCATGAATTTTACTGACATTGTCTTACTTAAAGGTTACTTTACTGGGTGTAGTTTCTTGGGGCTATATCCCATGCGGATCTCGCAACAGACCATCCGTTTATACAAGAGTTTCTGGTTACTTAGATTGGATAAGCGAAAATACTAAATGAATTATTTTGACATAATTATATTATAAATAAGTTTAGTAATAATAATTAATAATTTAGTACAATAATTTTCTACTGCATTAAAATATATTTTTCTGTAATATGAATTCGTTTTTTTATTAACTAAAATAATGGCAAACTTTAATGTATATAGTTTTTAATTACCAAGAAAGACAGGAAATGAAGATTATTAGTGCTTATAGTTTCAAAAGATAATTATTACATTCTAATTATATTGACAGAGATTAGAACAGTAATTTTCAAAGTGGTCCATATGGATTCCCAGGGATCCATGTCAAGATTCAGGTGTCTATGGTAGTAGATACACAATACACCACGTTAATATCAATTTACTTGTATATTTCTATTTTTAGTAAATAGTCATATACAATATTTATAAATAAAACTTAAAACTAAATACTAATACTGTTCATTTTAAAAAAATGTGTAAGTTGTAGCATAAGTCGCATTCGATTTGTGGTCGCAATATGGTTGAACTTGTAAAAACCCAACATGCTGACTACTGGAAGACATGGCAATATTCGATGGCGATTGTCAATCGAAAGATAACTAGTGGTGCATGGCATCGTGCCTTGAGACAAATTGCTGGAACTTCCCATACCATGAAATATTTGAGGAGTTTGAATGTTTTCAAATAGATTATTATAAATATTTTAACTTATAAATCGGACGACGGCGTTTATACGCATTTACATAAAAAGTAAGTAAACAGAACTTAATCAAGCGGATTTAAGATGAAAGACTATCATATTTCTAAGGATTAATTCAAGAATTTTAGCTAGAATAGAAATTAAATTCTGAATTATTTAGAGATTCTAAAAAAATGCTTCTTTACACTCTCGTCACAAGCAAAATGTTTTTTGAACTATGCAAATCAGACGCTTCGTTCTCTCAAAAACTGCCATATTGCACTGTTAACTTCGTATCACGTAAAAAGCTGGACCTGTTTTTGTCAAAATTATTTTCCAAAAACTAATCAGCCCATCTCCTGATTCATAAGAATCAAAAGTTTTTTTGAATCATTTCAATCGGTTGATCCATGCGCCCAAAATCGTGAAAATATTGTACCCGCACAAAACACACACACATACATCAATTTTTCAACCTCTGAAAAGTAATAAAATGCCAAAAAGAGTACGCGTAAGGTTCACACGCGATTAAAGTAAACTTATTTGCCAGTGTACAAGATGGCAATTAAGTTAAAATAAATACATCGTATAACAATTTTGAATAATGTTTATTAGTAATATGGTAACACTCGTGATCACATATTTATTACTGTCAACCATTATACACATTTATATAATGAGAAATTATAATTTATATATTTATAATATTGTAATTAAAGTCATACTTCAGATATGACATGATCGGTTTGTCATTGTAATTAGCATTTAGATATGAACCTTCATTAAAGAAATGAAGTAATTGCTGATTAATAAATTCTATAATATTCGCTCACACAGTGGATTATGTTAAGCAACGCCTAAACAAATATTGTTTTCGGAACTTCACTCATCATGTAATTGTGTTTGAAGAACTTCATGTAATTAAAATTACCATACATTCATTGACAGCTTGTATTTTTTTTTACTTTTTCGCTGGCGATATAATCTCATTCTTGAACAGCTGTAATATGTCTCACCTAAAAAATATTTTCCATTTTATAACTTCAAAGATTCATACAAACTACGAATAATATATAAATAATTTCTAATCAATAAACTTACGTTTAGTACACAAATGTTTAATTTGTTTTATTATTAGGAACAGGGTAAAATATTCTTCTGATTCAGGCATTTTTTATTAAATCTACATTTGTATTATGATGTAACTTTAAAACGTTTATTTATCTATGCCGATTTTGATTGAGTTGATATCGGTACGCATACAGCGTTGATGCCGGTACGCATACAACGACAGATCTCTATTCACATACGCGACGACTAATCACAATCGACCCGTATAGAAATGATATAATCTAGAGCGAATGACGCGTTATTGGCACCCGACTCTTATCTTATCCTATCTGCCTTAACGCACTTCCGTTGCATTTGTACGAATTTACATCCTAGTTGCGCCTAAAGAAGTTTTACTTCAAAAATATTTAGGATTTTTGGGCGATTACTGTAACTCACCCTAAGGGAAGTAAATGAATGATTTAATAGTTGATCTCCTAACAAAAAATATGTAGACTGGACCCGGAAATGGGAAATTAACCCTTTCGACTCAGATGCTGCAAGTGGAAAGTGTTAAACTTCACAAAATTGTGGTCAAATGTTGATGGTTAAATATTTACTTTTTGCTTACTTTATTACACAACAAAATAGTTTTTTGAATTATTCAAATTACAGAAACTGCTATTTTTCGCACATCAGAGCTCTGTAACTCTGAAATGGTTGGACATGCCTTTGCCAAAAACGAATCAGCACGTCTCTTTATCAATAGGAATCGAATGGTTTTTGAATCATTGAAACTAGTTAAACCGTGTTCCCGAAATTGTCGGCGAAAATTTGTTTCTGAACACACACACACATAAATTCATTTTTTTTTTAAGGTATGCCAAAATGTTCAGAGACCTCTGAAACATTAAGATATATAAAAAAAATTTGATTTGCCCTACAGGAGGTTGATTAATTGCTGTATTCATGCTTGCTTTTCTTGTTCTTTCTTCCTATAAATTTATAAATTGTATGGAACATACAATAGGAATATATGTATTCAACATTCCATAGGATAAATTATTGAAATCGTCCAAAATCGAAATTGAAAATATTTGCATATCTTTACGTTTCAGGTTTCTGAACACTTTGGCATACCTTAAAAAAATGAATGTGTGTGTGCGTGTGTATTTTTGTATGGATACAATTTTTCGTTCTTGATTTCGGGCGCACGGATAATCAACCGATTCGAATAATTCAAAAAACATAGGCTTTCTAATACTGATGGGGAAATGTGCTGATTAGTTTTCGGCAGAGACAAGTCCAGCTATTTCGGGGTTACAGAGCTGATGTGCGAAAAATGACAGTTTTTTTAATTTGAATGATTCAAAAAACCTTCTTCTTGTGTTGACGAAACTATTGTGTTTGGTGAAAGCAATTTTTTTTATATTATTTTTTTATTTTCCAAAAAAAATTTTTTTTGAATTTTAATTACAGCTAAAATTTTAAAGCTCACTTATAAAATTGAAATAAATAATTTTAACTTTGCAATTTAGTTTATAATTCTTAGAAAAGACAAAATCCTTTTATTCCAATAACTCTCCTTCAATAAATTCTGTTCATTTACTTTTCATGTAAACTTATTAAATGTTATCATCCAGTTTATGTTCCCTTACATCTTGTCTATAAAATACGATTAATAAACATTTTATTACAATATATTTGAATACATTTAATATTCTTCGAAAATTTCATTATGGTACGGGAAGTTGCTGCAATTTGCCTTAAGGCACGATGCCATGCACTAATAGTTAATTATATGCATCAGAAAGCATATAATTAAGCAAAGCAAAAAATTTATGAAGTATGTTCAGTTTTATGATTAGGTTTAATTGAATATAATGAAATATATTTAATAAAATATTTGGTTGATTTGATAAGAATAACATTATGCAAAATTGGTGAAAACACAAATACTTTTAATAATATAAATGAAAACACTTCATATACTGCTATTTAATTTTATTCATTTTCTTTAAAACTAATTCATGAATAATACTAATATATAACAAATGTCATAGAATATCATTATTTAGTATTCTCCTTAATCCAATCCAAGTATCCAGAAACTCTCGTATAAACTGATGGTCTGTTCAATGATCCGCAAGGAATGTAACCCCAAGACACAATACCCAAAAGCGTTGCCTATAATGATAAATCATGAATAAAAACTTTGTAATTATTTAAAATTTTTAAAGAGCTTACCTCATTTCCGTTGTATTGCACCAGGGGTCCGCCAGAGTCTCCGGAGCATGCGCTGACTCCGCCGGTTAAGGGTCCGGTGCAGATATTCAAGGGATGGAGTGGAGATGCTCCGGGACCTCCCAAAACCTTTTCGCACTCGGCATAAGATACAATTGGTTTGTTAACGGTCTAACGACAAATAATATATTGGTTATCACGCACAATCTAATAGTTTTCATTTCATTACCTGCAAAAGATTTGGATATGTAGGAAAACTAGTGGTCGATGTAGATCCCCATCCGGATAATGTCACCTGCCCTGAATGAGGTTCATCTCTCAAAGGCAACTTTACAGCCTGCACGGCTTCATTAAATTTAAATGGTGGATCCACTTCAATCTGATTTAGAAATATTAGTTATAACTTATGAAATCTCATTTATAAACAATCATATTTTTTACGTACCACTGCAATATCATAAGGACCAACGCTACCTCCGTACGACTTGTGCACAAAGGTTTTCTTGAAGGCAGAACGTTGTTCTGTCGACTCGGTCTTGGACAGATCATGTTTTCCTGCTACCGCCTAAAAGAAGAATTTAGCATAATCTTAGCACTTGTTATTGCATTGCTTGCTTGAATAACTAAGCTTACGACGTACCTCAAATCCATTTATACCCATGATGCAATGTCCAGCGGTTATCACCCATTTGGAGTTGTATATGATGCCGCCGCAAAAGTGGCTGCCAAACATCTGCAAGGACACTTGCCACGGGAATTGATGTGGGTCCGCGGTGTGGCCGCCAACCACTCTTCGGAAACCGTCAGGAAAACCGATTACATCCTCGTCTGTGAAATTAATGATTCGATTTTTTAATGTAACTATGAAGCTTGGAATGAATTTAATTGCAACTATTCAATAGCTACAATTTTAGAAATGAATGATTGACAGCTTAAGTTTTCTTACCTGGTGCAGCTGTAGCCGCTGCCACCAATAAAAAGGCTAATATAACTTTCATTTTTTAAATCTTATTGTGATATGATTTGTTTTCATTGAAATCGCGCTATTTATAATAAAAT